ATTATATAAATTACTATAGATCCACAGAGTATAGAACGAATTTTAGTGACAGCGTACACGTTCATGTCTTTTTATTCTTGTTTTGTCTGAAATTAAATCTATTAATCTTTCGTATTTATATAGATATTGTAGCTCCAAGACTTTTAAAAATTCTTGTTTATTATGTAAAAATGTACTCAAATAAATTAAAATAAATACATATGGAATATACATTACATGGAACATAGATATAGAATTATAACTGGTTTTTTACTCTCTTTTTAGGGTTTTTGTTGATAAATATTTTATTGATCTATGTTCATATTAATTTAAATTTTCTGTTTCTTGCATTTATATAATTTATAGAACCCGAAGAGATTAATATACATAGTTATAAAAATAAATGCTTAATATAAGTATTTAGGAAAAAAAAAAACTATTGCTGAAGGGGTTAAAGCGTAAACTTTTTTCTCTTTTATCTTACAACCGTCAATAAATGCATTTAATTATTGTTATGACCGTGTTCAGAGTTCATAATTCGATCTTTATGGTACTTAATTAACTTTTGCATTCAGTAGGTAAATACTTTTATTATCTTAAATATATACCTTATAGGCATTTCATATTTATAATTAGTTTTTGCTTGTGACTTTACCCGAGTAAATTTTAATTTCAATATATAGAAATTTTATGATGTTTGAGTCATATCTAAACATATCAACATCATTTGGTTTGAAACAATATCTATATTTTTAAAATTAAGTTCATAAAAATTTAATAAAATCTTAAATATAGAGTTTTGTCCGCGGCTTCGTCCACTTCGTCCTTTTATTTAAATTTACATTTAATTAGTTTCAGAGAACTTGTTGATGAGTTAGATATAAATTAATTAACCGACTACGACAAAACAAAAAAGATTTGAAGAATTATAAATTTGACCCATATATGTACATATGTATATATGTTTATGTATTTCGTCAACTTTTGATCTATGGATCATATTTTAAAAAAATAGACATTATTGGAAGCTTTTTTATAGTCTGTTGGTTATAAGATATGTGACGTTACGTTAAATTGAATTTAGAAGATATAAAATACCTAATAAACTAAAAGGACATTTGTAAATGAGACGCTATTGGATGTACAATGAAAGGGCTCGATTAACATAATTCAATAAATATTAGACCTTCCCGGAATACAATTGTGTAAACATCCAATTTTTTGCAGTACTTTTTGCTTGATGCCGGTTTAAATATACAGACAGACTAGCATAATTACTAAATATTATTATTTTTAAGGTTGGGATGGTTTTGCCATTAGTTGCCACGCTACCCAGGCGGGTTGGCAACCGCAGTTAGGTTCTTGTAGATGTTTTAAGAGTGACGCTATTGCCCATCCCTCGCCCTCCCTTAGTCGCCTCTTACGACACCCACGAGGAAGAAAAGGGTGGCCTATTCTATGCCAGGATCAAACACAACTTAGCTCGATGGAAAAACAAACTGAAGTGGCAACGTGCTGATCACATAGCTCGAAGAATCGACAAACAATGGGGAAGAAAGGTTCTTAAGTGGCGACCCCGTACAGGCAAACGCAGTTTAGGGCAATCCTCCACTAGATAGAGTGATGACCTCAAATGCATTGCAGGGAATCAGTGGATGCAAGTGGCTCAAGACCGTTCTTTATGACAGTCTATGGGGGAGGCCTATGTTCAGTAGTGGAGGGATAATGGCCGATGATGATGATGATGATGATTATGTTGAGATCTATTAGTTTTATAAAGACACCCTAATTATAATGTCTCTGAGATAAGTCTTATCAGCAGCAATCTTTTAATTATATTTTAATATTATATTAGCACAATGTAAGGAATCTTTAGGGAGGAAAAGGGATCGTTAGTAATGAGATCTAAAAATTCCGCTGCTAGTAATATAATTAGGTCGACTCCCACGCGGATTTCCCTAGAAACCATTATGGTTAATTCTTGTTCAATTCATCACGATGGGCTAATTGATTTGCTTTTATCCTCACCTATCATCTGTCACTGGTGCCCCGCCAGCGTATACCGATAACGCAGGCGGGGTCGATATTCCATTACCCTCCATTTAACAAGGAATCTATAAAGATTTATTTATTAAATGGATGAATGTATAAACAGTGTTTTCTCGGCCATAAAAATCTACTGTCATGCCGCATTCGTTCTCTAGGGTTGTCACATTTATTTTGATCGACTTTAAAATATAGAGATTTCTATTTTAAGTGTACCCGTTTTGATATTTTCGATATTAATATCGTTTCTCAATAATTCTACGTTATGAATTTAAAAAGTTGAGTAATTTTGAATTTCCAAGATTTTAAATGTAAAAACATTTGATTCGTATTGGCGACGTGGCATTTTAAAATGTTTGGGGTTGTAGATTGTATAAATGAAATTAATTATATATATTTTTATCTATATACTAGCTGTACCTTGTGGCTTTACCCGCGTTCATTAGTATATAAAATATCCTGCTTATGTTTGAAGTTAGAATAAAGCCTTGCGTACCAAATTTCTTTTTTGATGTGAGAATTAAAATTACTCTGTATGTATAATAATAATATAACTATATTTTTATATCAAAGGAAAATAGATTATACAAATAGATTTAAAAATATATTTCCCATACAAATTTTGTTCCTTTAATTCACACCCAATGTGTGGGGCCGTAGTCCCCATTACTAATAATCCTTTCCCCCTAATTAAATCGGTTTAAAAAATATACGTTCTCATACAAATTTTCAGACTTATCGAAAGGGGGAGAATTTCCAAAAACGATTTTCAGCATTTTTTGAAAATTTTACCCTTAAGGGAGTGAAATAGGGGATAATTCGATTAACTTATTGGTGTATTTGAGATTATTGTCCAGGAGGGATCTGGCTCCTCATAAAAGATTAATATATATATACCCTTGACGCGTTTTAGCAAAACTTTGCTCAGATTCTAAGGTAGGCGCTAGACTGTTCTGGGATGAGCACGAATATATTATGTTTTTGATGGGATATATTATTCCATCCATATCACCATATGGTTATTTATTTATTTTAATATTAGATTTTCAAATCAACAGTTTATATATAGAATAATAATAATAAAAAGTTATGTTTACACCATAAATTAGCTATTTACATATTCCCAGATTTGTGTACCAAACAATATTATGATAATTTTTGGAAGGTAGATATGGCATGGCACGCTATATGCGCGTCATATGGCACGCTCTTCTGTTAGAATGTTTTGTTTTGTTAGTGTGGGTGGTAGTTAGTACAGTTATGCGGTCCATTTTTTAATTAATTATATTATTATTCTTAATAATAATTAGATATCTATGTATCTTATTCATTGCCATGTAGCCCAGACATAATAGTTGTGTTTGCATGGCTGTGTTTCGGTTTGAAGGGTGGGATATAGCGTGAATGTACATGGTACAGAGGAATAACACCTGAGTCCTTAGGAATGGCAACGCATGGGAGGTATCATGGGCGAAACAGTATACTCTGTTATGTCCACGGTACTGCTCATGTCTATAGGCGACGGTTACCACTTTCCATCAGGTGGGCCGTCAGCTTGTTTGTCATTCTAAGTTTCCACTTTCCTGTGCCTTACTTTTCTGTGGGTGTCGTAAGAGGTGACTTAAGGTCAAGGGATGGAAAGCAGCGTCCTTCTTAAAACGTTTATGAAAGCCTAACTGTGGTTCCTACCTTTTTGCCAAGCATGGTAACTACCGACTACCCCGTTTATGGCAAAGGCTTTGTTCAGTAGAGGATAGTTAACGACTGATAGCATGATAATTATCTTATTCATATGAGAAACTGTAATGTTATATCAACATATTCAAATAATATGTAATATACCTATCTTATCTTACGAATTTTAATGACTGATAATGTAAAATTGTTATTAGATAATATTTGTACATAGAAAGTAATTTAGAAAAAAATAAATAAAAGACTTAGAATAAAGATAAGTGACCATCATTCCTGAGATTACAATAATAACATGCCGAAGATATAAGATAAGTGGATGTAAACTGTATTTGTATTTTTTTTTTTTGATGGGTGGAAGTGGTATGGTAACCCCGCCTGCGCTAACGGGATACGCTGGCGGAGCACCAGTGAGGGGTGATCGATGAGAATGAAAACAGGCCAGTTAGCCCATCATGATGAATTCATCAGGAATTAACCATGATAGTTTCCAGGGAGAACCGCGAGGAGCTCGACCTATATATTAGTAATATACCCAACCAGGTATGGGATTCTCAGTCTCCATTACTAACAATTCCTTTCCCCCCATTGTATTTGTATTGTGATCTTGTTGTTGATCTCAAGTTAATAAAATAAAAACAAATAACATGGTAATTTGTTTATAGAGTATAAACTGAAACATATATGAAATAAATAGCCGAATTAAAAAAAAATCTATTTATAAAATCCATTATCAGCGATCGAAATGGGCTGTATTCCATTTACAAAAAAATATGTCAAACTGAAACAGCTAATATTTAGATTTGTGTGTGTTTTTCAATCTTGTTCATGACGCGACAACCTTATTATGTATAAATATCTTGCGACCCCCTTCCCCCCACAGTTTCGAATGTGTATGAATTTTATTGTTACAATTATGAAATCCGTACAGTTGTATTTATAGTTACAATTAGGTATCCATAAAATAAACAATACATAATAAAATATCTAAAGCAGACATGTAATCGATGTCTGTTATAGATACTTCATTAGGTATTATTGATCGATTAATGTATTGTAATGTAACTGTTGATTTTTACTGCTTCGAGACCTTCTGCGACCTCCTTGTTGAGGCTCGGGGACCCCCCAAGGGGTCGCGGCCCACACTTTGAAAAACACTGATTTAGATAAAACATCTCGTATTCTTAAGAAATGAACTTGAAAATTTCGCCTGAAACGTGCTAAACCACTGAGCTGCAAAGGTCGTTAAATGATAACATAATATATAAAGTGTGATAAGAGTTCTGTACAATACACTGCAGTGATCTAAACGTCGTTTATCAATACGTACGTGTGTCATTAATAAATTGAAAATGTTAAAAAATAATTTGTACGTATATTCCGAAGACGAAGTTTGGGTGCCGGCGAATTTGAATTTCGGTGAATATTTCTTGAGAAGAGCGTATCAGTTTAAAGATAAACCCGCCTTTGTGAGTTTTTACAAGCTTTTATTAAACTTGCTCTTTTTAAGACTTTCCATTCGAAATTTGTTTTTATTTTATTACTTGCTGGTGGCCTATTGACTTGCAATTAAAACGACTTATTTTACCAGCTATGCAAATTATTGCTTCACGGTAGAAACACGAATGGAACAGAGGTGCCCAAACAAACGACTTTGGTACAAAGTCTCCCTCTGGTTCGTTTATAAGATCGGGATATATTCACCGAGTGGGATAAAAGTAGCCTATGTTCTCATTACTAAATTTTATAATAATTTGTTAACCCGTTAAGCTGTCAAGAGGTAACAAACAAATAAACAATCACATTTTCATATTTGTGATTTTAGTAAGCATAATTCGCTTAACTAATCGTGAAATTTAGTATTGTACTTACTATATGCAACGGAGAAGGACATAAGACTAGTTTTATTTTTACCAGTGAACATACTCATTCTTCGATCACGAGGACGGGTGACTCCGTCAAAAAAAGGTTGAAATTGAAATATTTTAAATCCAATGTATCTACGAATCATCTGTCAGTATTTTTAGAAGCTCCCAGCTATTTTCGTAGAGCAAAATCTACGTTTTAAATTTCTACAGTTTTTGTATTAGCCTATATGCGTTTTGACTAGTTTTTTTTTTTGAATAATTTAATTAGAAGTGAAAAAGATGCACTTCCTCTTAATGTGTTTATTTGAATTGTGTTTTACAAAATTTTATGGAACCCCAATTGGCTGATCCCTTAGACGTAGAAATCGAGACGCAACAATTTTATTTTTTTGATTCCTGCAAAAATGCATACATTTATAAGGAAAAAATTGTTCCATAAAGTTCCTTGTTATAGATAAACGCAGCCACTCACGAGGTTTACACTTTTGGCGAACTGCTACAAGACTCTATGAATGTCGCCGTCTCACTCACACATATAGGCGTGAGAAAGGGAAACGTGGTAGCTATATGCACGGAAAGCAGAAAGGAGTTTTGGAGTGCTGTGATCGGCACCGTTTGTACTGGGGCTGTGTTGTCACCTGTAAATCCTGGATATACTGCTGGTAAATACTGTATTACCTTTTTTTTAACTTTTTTAATGACTAACTTTTGGTCGCTGTATACTTCGTATTCGAATTTCTCAAGTAAGAAAACTACGAAATAGATCGCTTCTAGATGGCGGATTAAGATAAAATATTCACCATATTTTAAATTAAACCTTTAGGAATACAAGTGTAAAAATCGTATGCAATTAGGTGCAGTACTTTGTGCGTGATTCTGGAAAAAATATACAGATAGAGGATAGGCAAAATTTTCAAAAAATATTGTATTGTCATTTTTTTATTTATTTATTTATTTTACACTTTATTGCACCAAGTAAAAAGAGAAATAATAAATACAGTAAATATTAATGAGAAGGGATACAAAAGGCGGCCTTATCGCTAAGCAATCTCTTCCAGACAACCTTTGGGTAGAAGACATTGAGAAAAAGACAAAGGGTAGGTGGCGCACTATTATATAAATATTATCATATACAAACATATATACATACATACATACACATACATATATAATATATACACAATTGAATATATACATAACATACACATACTTAACAGCATACATACAACAGAAAAAATATGACGAAGGAAAACGAAGACAGAAAATATAATAGTACTAATACTAAAGTGAGAGGTAGTATTAATTAGTCTTTTTTTAGATCTCAAACATCAATTTACCTTAAATATCTTAAATATATAATTTAATAAATATAAACATCGTCTAGTTAAGATTTTCATTACATTCGTAAAAAGAACGGTACGTGAATTTTTTTATAGAGTGATTAGACGACGTACTCCAAAATGATACCACTTTTATAGTTCCACTAGTGTTTTTTATATTTATTTACATAACAAAATTATAGTTATAAAACATTACACAAAGAGATACAAGAATGGTATACTAAAATTCAAATCATTCTTTTTCTTTTTTTAAATATACTATATGGCTTCTTTCCAGCCATGACCAGTGATAATATAGCTTTATTTTTTTTTCCCTATTCAAATATGCACCTCCTATGTATTTCTCGGTACGGGGCACCAGTGAGGGATGAGAAAAAGAATGATGTAGAATACTTTTTATCTTGGAAAGTAAGCATATTATTATCTCAGTCACGCGGATGAAGTCGCGGGTAAAAGACAGTAACTAATAACAAACACGTATACAAAGTTAATTAGAATATTTGTCAAGTAAGAATTATACACAAGAAGTGTACAGCCCTAAAATATGTTTGTTGTTGAAGTAAGACGGGACTTTCCCTAATAGAATACTTCAATGCAATAGTGTTAAAGAAATTTGCCAACAACTTAACAGGGGAATCACCCGATTACCTCGTATTATAAGATTGCCAGGTATTCCTCGACGGGGATGTCATGTAAAAAATACTTTTTTTTTATACAAGCTAAAATGGCAAACAGGCTGACGGCCCACCTGATGGAAAGTGGTAACCATCGCCTTTAGACATGAGCAGTACCATGGACATAACAGAGTATACTGTTTCGCCCATGATACCCCCAATATGTTGCCATTCTTGAGGATTCAGGTTTTATTCCTTTGTACCCTGTAAATTCACGCCATATCCCACCCTTCAAACCGAAACACAGCCATGCAAACACAACTGCTTTACGGTAGAAACACGAATGGAACAGAGGTACCCAAGCAAACGACTTTTGTACAGAGTCTCCCTCTGGTGATAATAAATACGTTTTTATGGATGATAATGGAATGGCGGTGAGGGATGATAAGTGAGAATAAAAAGGCAGGCTAGTTAGCCCATCATGAAATTCAGCACGATGGTTTCTCGGGGGGACCACGTGGAGGTCAACTTGACAGGGTATAAGTAACAATCCCTTCCCCACAGAACCTTATTTAAGGACCGTTGTACAAAACCTCTCTCTAGTAACATTGTATGTGTGTGTATGTGTGTATTTTATAAAATAATTATCTTTTCAGGTGAATTGAAACACATTTTGGGCATAGCGGAGCCAAATTACGTTTTTTGTTCGCCGTCATTTTACGAGAAACAGGAGAAAACACTTCGATCGCTCACCTTTTTGAAGAAGATCATCGTGTTCGGTGACAAATGTCCCAGTGACGTGCTGCTTTACAGGGATCTAGTGTTACCGATTAGTGGTGACGCAAAATCGGGCATTATAGTCACTAATCGATTGACGAGGGACGTCCGATATGAGGAGTTCACAGTGGCCGACGTGTGTGGTGGGAGCGACGCACTGTTCATACTGTATTCATCAGGAACAACTGGACTGCCGAAGGGAGTCATGCTGACGCATTTGAATGTCCTCACTTCATGTAGTTTGTATGATCTTTTGTATATTGCTGTGTTCTTGTGGTTACGTTCCCCTCAACCGACTTTGAAAAGGAGGTTTCCAATTCTAAATCAGTTAGTTAATCGATATGGAAAGTTCTTTTTTTATCTGAAAGGATATACTTACAGATTGGTGCTATGGAAATTTTACCAGAGGCAGACTTTGTACAAAAGTCGATTGCTTGGGTACCTCTGTCCCATTCGTGTTTCAACCGTGAAGCAGTTGTGTTTGCATGGCTGTGTTTCGGTTTGAAAGGTGGGATATGGCGTGAATTTACTGGGTACAGAGGAATAACACCTAAGTCCTCAAGAATGGCAATGCATGGGGGGTATCATGGGCGAAACAGTATACTCCGTTATGTCCATGGTACTGCTTATGTCTATAGGTTACCACTTTCCATCAGGTGGGCCGTCAGCTTGTTTGCCATTCTAAGTTGTATAAAAAAATGCTTGTTTGCCATCTCAGTGGTATAAAAAATATATATCTGTAAGGAGATTTTAAAGCAAATATTATAAGAGGACTCTGAATGTGCGATAACACGAATAAATGATAACTTTGTTTGCTTTATTAATATTATTTATTATTATTTTACCGCTTTCTTACTATAAAAAGCCGGTCAAGTGCGAGTCGGACGCGCACAACGAGGGTTCCGTACAAAAGTCTAAATTTTGTGGAATAAATACAAACTTACGGTTTTAATTTTTTTTCCTTTACTTATGCTGCGTGGTATTGCTTCTTGCCAAATTTCACGTTTCTATGTCAACGGGAAGTACCCTATAGGTTTTGATTCCCTTTGCGAATGTTAAAATATGCGATAAGGATATATGTTCTGATTGCGTCGATTTAGAAGCTTGAGTTTTTCACTGCTTTAAGAGGTTGCAGACCTGCGTATATGATATTATTTTCAACGTGATATCTCCACGAGTATCTAAGAAAAAGGATCTTGACAGATAGATGGACAGACGGAAAACGAAGTAATCCTATAAGGGTTCCGTTTTTTTCTTTGGAGGTATGGAACCCTAAAAAAGCATCAGTTGTTGCCGAGATATAATATTGTGACAGACAGATAGAACATATTGGTCCTCAGGAATGGCAACGCATGAGGGGTTTTTTTTAATAAATGATAATGGAATGGCAACCCCGCCTGCGCTAATGGTATATGCTGGCGGGGCACCAGTGAGGGGTGATAGGTGAGGATAAAAAGGCAGGTCAGTTAGCCCATCGTGATAAATGCACCCGGAATTCAGTACGATGATTTCCAGGGGGGACCACGTGGAGGTCGACCTGACCAGACCAGTCCCATTGCTAGCAATATACCTTATATTGTTAGTAATGGGACTGGCAGTCCGCATTACTAACAATCCCTTCCCCCCTCCGTATGAGGGTTATCATGGGCGATAGAGTATACTGTTACGTCCATGGTACTTTCACATCTATAAGTGATGGTTACCACTTTCCACCAGGTGGGCCGTCAGCTTATTTGCCTTTCTAAATTGTAATAAAAAAGAAAGACAAGCAGACATACGGGCAAAATCGCATCATAAGAATACTTTAATGTTTTGTAACGAACCTTTAAAAACTAGATTTTTTTATAAATAAAGTATAGACAATGTACTGTATTTTGAGAAGTAAAATTTAAAGTAAAATGTCATGTTAAGTTAATACATTCTAAGTTGTATAAAAAAATGTTATGATTCGAACGGAGAACTGACAATTTTATTAAAAGAATGTTACACATAAATGGTAAACAGATGTCGCTACCTGTATGTTTAAGTGTTTCATTTCGATAATAACAGTTAAATCGTGTTCCACGAAAAAAACAGACTTCAATTGTGGCAAATTTAGTTATTTTGATTTTGATAAACAACAGAATGGAAGAAAGGTTCTTGAGTGGCCACCCCGTACGGGCAAACGCAGTAGGACGACATCCCACTAGATGGAGTGACGACCTGAAGTGCATTGCAGGGAGTCAGCGGATGCTGGTGGCTCAGAACCATTCTTTAAGGCAGTCTATGGGGGAGGCTTATGTCCAGCAGTGGACGGACAATGGCTGAAATGATGATGATGACATTACAGAATCGATTTAGATAATATTTCTACGTCATCCAGCTGTAAGTATATCCTTGTAGATAAAGAGAAGAATTCTCAACAAACACTACAAAGAAAAACACAACCGAATCGAGAACCTCCTTTTTTGAAGTCGGTTGATAATAATATTTTGTTCCAGACCTAGCGCCGTAGATCCTAATACAATGGGACTAATTATTACACCCTGGTACCACACGATGGGCTTGGTGGGCACATTTAACTCGCTTGTTTTGGGAAGATCTCTCGTGTACTTGTCTAAGTTCGAGCTGGATCTTTATTTACGTACAATTGAAAGGTATAAGGTTAGTAATTAGTAATATTATCCCTATTCCCTTACTAAGACCATAAAATATTCCAGCATTGGCAGATAACTGCTTATATGGGGGGGGGGAGGTTGTTAGTAATACGGACTATCAGTCCCATTGCTAGCAATATATCCCGTCAGGTCGACCTCCACGTGGTCCCCCTTGGAAACCATCGTGTTGAATTACAGCTGTATTCATCATGACGGGTTTTTTTTAATGGTGTGGTAACCCCGTCTGCGCTATCGGTGTACAATGGCGGGGCACCAGTGATAGATGACTAATGAGGATGAAAGCAGGTCAGTTAGCCCATCTTGGAGAATTCATACATAAATAAAATATGTACATACTTGTATAGATTTTTTTTTAATGGGTGATAATGGAATTGTAGCCCCACCTGCGCTATCGGTATACACTGGCGGGGCACCAACAAGGGATAATTGGTGAGGATGAAAAAGCAGGTCAGTTAGCCCATCCTGACGAATTCAACTAGAATTAACCACAGTGGTTTCCAGGGGGAACCGCGTGGAGGTCGACCTGTCGGGGCATATTGCTAATAATGGGGCTATTTGACCCCATTACTAACAATCCCTTTCCCCCCTACTTGTATAGATTAGAAACTGATTTCGTGTCGTACCTCATGACTTTTTTTTGTTATTATTTTAATGTTTCCTTACAGATTTCTCATTTGAATATAGTGCCGCCAGTATTGGTGGCGGCGTGCAAGTCCGAAGCGCAATACGACCTGAGTTCGGTGCAACTCATTTACTCCGGTGGTGCTCCATTGCAGAACGACACTTTGAGTATTGTGAAAACTAAGTAAGTGATTAACCGACTTTGAAATGTTAGTGTTTTTTTTTAATGGGTGATAACGGAATGGTAACCCCACCCGCGCTATCGGTGTCCACCGGCGGGGCACCAGTGAAGGATGATAGATGAGGATGAGGTCAGTTAGCTCATCGTGACGACAACAAGAATTGTTCACGATGGTTTCCGGGAGGAACCAAATGGACGTCGACCTAATAAGGCATATTGCTAGCAATGGGGCTGTCAAACTCCATTGCTAACAATCCCTTTTCCCCCCAATGTTAGAGTGTTAGATGTTGATTCATTTTGTATGTACGCGATATTATTGCAAATTTGGGTTTAACTCGCTCGAATAGTTTTTTAAGCTACTTTCTTTAGTTATTAATTACGACACATTAATTTTTTTTTATACTAACGACGATTCCTGACTTCGTCTAGGTAGAAATTGTTTATTTTTACAATTTTAGACTTTAAGAAAGAAGAAAATTCTTAATTACTCGTAGATGGCAATTTATTTTATGTTTGTTGATTTAATTTTTTTAATCATGTGCATTTACGGTACGGTAACCGCTTACCATCAGGTGGGCCGTTGCTTGTTGTTGTCGTTGTTGCCATCAGCTTGCTTGCCACCTCAGTGGTATAAAAAAAAATTATAGTTTTTTAATATTTCTTTTAGAAAGGTTCGGAATACATTTATTTTGTATTTGTTTATGCTACTTAGAGTGGCAAACAAGCTGACGGCCCACCCGATGGAAAATTATTTTGTATACAAGTATAAATTAATTTGTAAAAGTCTGCTGCTGAGTTTTTTACAGATTCTTCTGAACGTAGTGGTAATTATGACCCTCCACTTTTTCCATCTCCACCATAAGTTCCCTTAGTCGCCTCTTACGACACCCATGGGAAAAGAGGTGGTGGCCTATTCTATATTGGGAGTTGCATGCCTGCGTAATGTGTGTATTTTGTTCGTTATTTGTCCACAGGTTTCCAAATATAATTGCAGTGACTCAAGGTTATGGAATGACGGAAACTACGCTGGCTGTAGTTAGGACCTTATTTCAAAATGCCAAGCAGGGGAAGGCTGGCAGCGTCGGATTAGTGACGCCTGGCACTGTCGCTAAGGTTTGTGGAATTAAAATATTTATTTATTTATTTATTTATTAGGGAGACTGTACAAAAGTCGATTGCTTGGGTACTTCTGTCTCATTCGTGTTTCAACCGTGAAGCAGTTGTGTTTGCATGGCTGTGTTTCGGTTTGAAGGGTGGGATATAGCGTGAATTTACTAGGTACGGAGGAATAACACCTGAGTCCTCAGGAATGGCAACGCATGATACCCCCATCATGGGCGAAACAGTATACTCTGTTATGTCCATGGTACTGCTCATGTCTATAGGCGACGGTTACCACTTTCCATCAGAGGTAGGCCGTCAGCTTGTTTGCCATTCTAAGTTGCATAAAAAAATGGTCGAAGTCTTTTACAGAGCAAAATCTACATGAAAAATCAATCTGAATATAATAAAGATAAAAAATAATATTCCACTGACGTTTTTTACGTACAGATAAGATTAACATACACTTACATCTTATCTTATCAATGTTTCATAATATAAAACAGGTATTTGAAAGGTTAATATGTAGATAAGTGATAATTATTATGTATTATTTGCCGTGTGGTTACGGCATATAGAATTCGTCACCACTTCCTTTCTCGTGAGTGTCGTGATTAAACGAAATTAAATGTCAAGGGATGGGTATCTTAGAACATTGCCAAAGCCTACGAGTATGTCCAGCAGTGGACAGTTAATGGCTGATATTTATTTGTTCTTAAGCTGTTAACTGTCCACTACTGGACGTAAGTCTTCCCCATAAGGGGAGTTTTGCCAGGAGTTGTCACGCTTGGCTGTCGGGTTGGCAACCGCAGTTAGGCTTTTAGTGATGTTTTAAGAGGGACGCTGTTGCCCATCCCTCGCCTTCACTTAGTCGCGTCTAACGACACCCACGGGAAAAGTAGGCGCGGCCCATTCTATGCCGGAGCTGTGTGCCCCGGCGAGCAATATTTATTTATTTAAACTTTAATATACAGTGAAACTATGTATGTACATATGGTGGACTTAACACCGGACGGATGTTAAGTTCACCATGTGATTACATGGCTGTGTTTCGGTTTGAAAGATGGAATATGGCGTGAATTCACTGGTTACAGAGGAATAACATCTGAGTCCTCAGGAATGGCAACGCATGGGGGGTATCATGGGCGAAACAGTATACTCTGTTATGTCCATGGTACTGCTCATGTCTATAGGCGAGGGTTACCTCTTTCCATCAGGTGGGCCGTCAGCTTGTTTGCCATTCTAAGTTGTATAAAAAAAAAAGGTGCTGAAATCAATTACATATTAATAATGTTACCAAATAAACTTTTTTTTATATATATATTTTTTTATTTATAGGTCGTCGATATCGAGACTCGAAAGCCGGTAGGTCCCAATGTACACGGCGAATTGTGCTTCAAGGGACCTCTAATAATGAAAGGTTATATCGGCAAAGATAAGACGGACGATTTTGACGACGAAGGCTTCTTTAAAACGGGCGACATTGGCTACTACGATGACGACAAATACTTCTTTATCGTCGACCGACTAAAGGAGCTCATCAAGTATAAAGCTTTTCAGGTACTTGTAAATTCCTTGTAAAATATAGGCTACTAGCGGCCCGGTACGTGCTTCGCTACATATAAAGTGAAATAATAATAAAAAAAATGTTAACATCAATATCGCTAATAATTTGCTTTAATCGAAGCACGTCCAAAATGAAATGACCGCATGAATGACATAACAACGTGCTTGTACTGTCAACACTGAAAAAAGTTTCAATTTGACAGCACAATCACCATCTTAAAAAAAGTTTGAATTTGACACAAAAATCCCCTTTAACGAAACGATCCGTCATTTATTGAATTCATTTGTTACAAAAAATCTGATAAATGAAGAACCGCTCGACCGATTTTATGCAAACTTCACATAAACCATCTACTAAATAGTCCGAACAAAGCCTAAACATTCGGTTTGGATAGGTGAACCCGTTCTCGAGTTAAAAATTTCAACGAAATGTGGCATTAATTTTTATATATATAGATTTGATTGATTTCTGGGAATCATCTCAGACTTTTTAATGGTGTTTACAAATCTCCCGACTTCCAATCCCCAATGACTTTTTGGGAATCTTTTATCATTTTATCTTATATATTCTATTTTTTGTCAATTATTCTTACAAAATGGCTGCTAACATAAGATGACAGGTAGTGTATATTTTGTCAACTCTGTTATTATTAAAGACTAGCGGCCCGTCCCGGCTTCGCACGGTTGGACATTTTTACAACATTTTAAAAAGTGGTTATTGTGAGATAAAGATAATAATTGGACATATAGTATCGCGAAGTTTTTTGTAGTTATTGATGTTTTATTCAATATTGTAGAACATACTATTGTTCGATCACCAATAGTTGCCGCAGCCCACGCGACGAAAAAACTTTATAGCATTTTTTTACACCTTGGAGTTACGTTACTAAAGTTTAAGTAAGGATTCCTAATCTTTTCTAGCAACAAATATAGCCTATGTTACTCAGGGTGAATGTATCTTTCATATGGTGAAATATTTTTTTAAATTGGCAGGATAGTTTTCGAGTTTATTCATTACAAACATACACACAAAAATACAAATCGTTCCTCTTTATAATATTAGTGTAGATCAATCAAATGAAAGAGTTTTGTGGGTAGGTAATCCTTATCAATATTGGAATTGTGAAGGTGATTTTGTTTTGTTACTTCATAGCGCTTTAATGGTTTAACGAATCACTATGAAATTTGGTTTTCACAAGACGTAGAAGGTTATAGGCTAGTTTTTATCCTAGCCAATGAACATATCCCGGTCATGCAAACGAAGTCGCAGGTAAAAGCTAGTGATGAAATAAGTGATATTATTTTATATAGGTATATTGCCGTGTATACCCCGGCATGTAATGGGCCACCCCTTCCTTTCCCGTGGGTGTCATAAGAGGCGACTAAGGGAGGACGAGGGATGGGCAGCAGCGTTCTTCTTAAAACATCTTTAAAAGCCTAACTGCGGTTGCCAACCCGCTTGCCAAGCGTGGCGACTATTAGCAAAACACCACTTATGGGGAAGACATAGGTCCAGCTGTGGACAGTTAAGTGGAGTTTTGCCAGCAGTTGCCATGCTTGGCAGGCAGGTTGGCAACCGTAATTAGGTTTTGGTATGTCTTTGTATTGATCTTTAAGTGATGGAATAAAGAGTAAATAAATAAATAGGTACCACCAGCTGAAATAGAAGCGTTGTTACTGCAACACGAGGCGGTGCAGGACGCTGGTGTGGTGGGCCTGAAGCACAAGGAGTCCGGAGAAGTGCCACTGGCGTTCGTGGTGAAGCGGCCAGGGAAAACGGTCACTGAGAAGGAAATCCAGGCGTTCGTTGCGGAGAGGGTGCGTAGAATTGCGAGTTTTGTGAATATACTCGTACTGTGATGTATTAATTAAGAAATATCAAAGATGAGTCGGATTCATTATAGTATAGATAAAATGTATACTTTAGGGTTCCGTACCTCCAAAGGAAAAATCTAACCCTTATAGGATCACTTTTATAATATCATATACTCAGGTCTGCAATCTCTTAAAGCAATGAAACAATCATGCTTCTAAATCGACGCAATCAAAAGATACGTCCGTTTATGTTCCATTTATATCGCATATTTTGACATTCGCAAAAGGAATCAAAACCTATACACTTAGAATCACGAAATTTAACAAACGTAGCATAAGTAAATAAAAAAATCCGAAAACCGTAAATTTGTATTTCACAAAAAAAAAAATTAACTTGATTATTTTGTACGGAAATCTCGTTTCGCGTCCGTGGAATAGAATGGCCTCATATTTTGGGGGCACTACTTCCAGTCCCAGCGATGGAATCCTCTTCATCACCTGCGCTATTTCAGCAGTAGCTCAGAGAGCAGCTTCCAGCGTACCAGCGTACTCTTTCAAGGAACACTAAAATAGCATAAATTATTTGATATTCAAAGATATATTTTTAGAAGGAGTATTTTTGTTTTTAAGCAACTTACAAAACCTTATTGGTTTTTAGTTCATCGGAATTTTATTGCAACTATATTAAGTTATTACTTCACCAATTCAGAAGAACGAGTATTAATTTTTTTTTTTTATATTCGCAGAAGTTGGCCACTTTCTAATTTTGTGACATTTAAAAATTCCGATTTTCTTTATGGAACAAAAACTTATTTGTTGTGAAGCAAAATCTACATATAAAATTTTATTTATAAATTATCATGTGAAGTTTTTTTTTTTATTTTAAGAGCTTTTACCTTCTTCACGTATATCAGCCCTATCGTACACTGAACTGATTCCTTAAATAAAGTTTTATCTACTTTCCTTAGACACGGAAGGAGAGCTATTAATAAGTATCAATAATTTACAGAGACGGTCAAATATTTCTGATTTGGGTTCAGCTAATAGACATTGAATAAGACTAATATTTAATTTATTTAGGTTAAAGTGGCGCATGAATTCTTTTGAAGTTATAGGAAAAAGGAATTATGAATTACGAATAGAAGCGGCTCCATTGCTGGTAATATGCGCTCTCAGATCGATATTCATATGGTTCCCCCTGGAAACCATAATAGTTAATTTTTAAGTTACATTGAGTCAATTAAACGGCGTAATGACTCATTGGAACCTCGTCAGCGTAGGTGGGTTTGTCATTATTTTCCTGATCTCAATTATCCCCAATTATTTGGAGTCTATAGTAATATGTATTATCCATATAACCCAAGGTTTTGGCTTTTAATTTTACGACCGTAAAACCGTTTAGGCAGGTTTATCATTTCATTAAAAAAAGAATCGCAGCCGCTACCAGCACGTAGTATGATTAACATTTAACATTTCTTTTTTCAGTTATCAAACCCTAAACATCTGCGTGGTGGGGTTCGTTTCGTCACTGCAATACCCAAGAATCCAAGTGGAAAGATATTGAGGAAGGAGCTCCGTAAAATGGCATCTAAAGCAGCGAGCAAACTGTAATTTGTAATCGACTTTGACATTCTAGATTCGTCTGTACTTTTACACGACTGCCCAATAAAGGTGTAATGTTCTTAGGTTTCATGTTGCGCGTAAGTTTATTACACCATAAAGTCTAAACGCTTGAATAGATTTTTTTAATGGTTGATAATGGTATGGGAATATAGCACGATGGTTTCCAAGGGGGACTACGTAGAGGTCGACCTGACGGGATATATTGCTAGCAATGGGACTGGTAGTCCGCATTACTTACAATCCCCCCCCATCCCCAGCTTGAATAGTTTTTAGATTTTTTTTGTATCGTTAGATTTCCTACATCATGTCGAGTGACACTGGCTGTATATATATAATTCAATACTCGGGTGTGTCGAATGTGACGCCATTTGTTTTTTAATAAAAGAGACTGAAAACTATATTTAATACAAGCGATCAACCCTGGCTTTTCAAGAGTATATAGGAAGTAATATATAGTCTATGTTACTCACTAATAATGTAGGCTACTTATAGAAGATTTTTTTTTAAATGATGATTTAAAACAATCATACATAATTTTTTTTTATTGGATATGGATATCAAATCAAAAACCTTCATTTGAAAGCACACATTTGAAAACTGTTTGTTTACATAAACTTTACATATATGTAACTTATTTACTTAGTATTCATTTGGCAGGGCAGTCGTGTATTTCTATTAATTAGGCTTGTTGTGGTTGTTAACATTAACAATTTTGATTTGCTCCCTGTCAAGGTTGTCCCATAAGACTACAGTATTCTTCAATAAAAATTGTATCCCATAAAAAAATCATTTAAGATAAAACCAGCTATTTTGATTTAAAAACTAGAATATAGAACCGGTTTCGAAAAAAATACTAAATTAAATTAAAATAATATTAATTCAAATAAATTGATTCCAATCTCTAAGTATATCCTTTAAAATAAAAAAAAAAATCTAATCGGTTTATAATTGACGGAGTTTTAAGATAATAAACATAAAAAAAATACCGAATTGAGTATTTTTCAGGAGCGGTAACATCAGGTGGGCCGTATGCTTGCTTGTCACCTCAAAGATAATTCATGTTTGTTTATTTTAAACGACATAATGCATTTAGATACGGGTCATTTGGAAACTCTTAAGAGTCACCGCAGATAAGACTGTTATCTGCTACAATTATAGAATTATTGCTAAAATGAAGCACTAAGCCAGTATCTTGTATGAGATGTATGTGCAGTACACCTGGCAAGATTTCCTCCGACAGCGGTTGGTTGCGTTTTCAATCTGAGATCATCAATAATCGCTAAAAATAAAGGTAAATGCAGTAGCAGGATCAGAACTGTGGAGCTGATGATCTTAAGTTTTTATTTACAATTACGCGTGGGTAGGTCTGACATGCAATCTCTCGTACTGAGTGATGGAATTACTAGCGTTAAGGTAGCTGGCTAATAGCGGTAGGCATTCGTACGTTGTTCACACCGGTCTTTTGATATGACCCGCTACAGAACTATGCGACGCGTTATCAAGGTGAGTTTGATGACTGTTAGTATTATCTGCAGGTGAAGGCATTAGCAGCGAAGGTAAGTATCTGACGGAATGAAGTGAACAGTAGCAGGATGCATATAAAGCGGTGCATACATCGACGGCAACACTACTGCACTTGTGTGCGTGGGCACGTCACTTTGCGATGTACATACGGCGTGGACGACGTAGCATGAGTAATAGATGTTGGCAGAACTTGATGTGCAGCATAGGCATGCTAATCAGGAGACATAAGGTAAATTAATTGCTACTTGTGGACACGCAGTAATTGTACTCTATAGTGCGAGTGCAAACGCTGAAGCAGGTGCAGTAAGAGGCGACGGTAGCGCTGTACACGCCAAGTTCAACAGGTGGAACTGTAGTGACTGGCGGGCATGACGGTATGGTGCCCGCCTCAGCCACGTCACTAGAAGGCCGGAACACGCTGTTCAGCTGTGCCTGTGACGACAGGCGGTCGCGAGCATTCCGTACTCACAACCGTAACAGAAACAGTTGGGTCATCATAGAATTACCAGTTCTAATTAAAACCAGCAAATTATTTTCAGTCATAACACTATTTGCTCTTGATCGAGTAATAACCATCTTCAAGTTGACAAAAATAAATTTAAGTCCATAACAACAGTATTTTACGTTACACAATGCGATATTTAAAAAAAAAAAAAAAACTAGAAACTTTATAGTCATTTCACACACGCACATTTTATGTTCGTAACAGTAACCTTGGTTTAGGTATTCGATACCTTAAACAAAACCTAATAACTGGCTATCACATTCGATAGAAAGATACAAAGTAGTCATTATTTACACTAGGTACTATGGAAAATACCCGACTATACAACTTGGAAAAAGTCCATAACACAAAACGTGCCCCAACACGAACGTTATAAATACCTATGTAGGCAAATGTTCACGTTTATGACTATATATGGTAATAAACAAAATGTAAGGCTCACCCAGTGGGTGTAATAAATAAATAAATATATATATAAATAAATATATATATATATATATATATATATATATATATATATATATATATATATATATATATAAGATTTAAATTAATTAAGTGTTTGTAGAAATTAATAAATAACATAGAGAAATGTACCGATATATTGTTTAGTCATAAATTTATCTAAGATGTTTATTAAAATGTTATTGTAATATATTCGTGTTTGTTTTGTTTTCTACAAACTTTAATAAAAGTGCAATATTATATCCATCATATCAGCCTTTAACTGTCCACTTTTGAACTTAAGCCTTCCCCATAAGTTTTTCTAGTAGTTGCCACGCTTAGCAAGGGGGTTGGCAACCGCAGTTTGGCTTTTGGTGGGGTTTGAAGAGAGACACTGCAGCTCATCCCTCTACCATAAGCTCTCTTAGTCGTCTCTTATGACACCCACGGGAAAGCTACAGGTGGCCTATTCTATACCGGGACCACATGGCTAAAAATATACATTGCACTTTAATAAAAACCTATCTTTGACCCAAACAAACTTGTTTGTTTAGATCAATATCCTTCAAGCTGATTTAGGACCAAGTTCTCCAAACCGATTTTTGCTAAAATTTGCATGCTCCTTTAGCTTTGAAGATAGTACAAGATATAATATTCAATCCTTACTAATATTATAAATGTGAAAGTGAGTTTACTTTTATCTTATAGCGACTTATTATTAGCTTAACCAATCAATATGAAATTTGGTATACACGTAATTTATGGAATGGAGAAGGTTATATAGGTTATATTTATATTTTTATCTCTGTCGGTGAATTGCGAAATATCGCGGCTAAAAGCTAGAATTGTAATAATTTCAAAATGGCCGCCACCACAAGATGGCGGATGATATTACTTTATTCTATAAAATGTCAAATAAAAGAGCTAGAAAAGTTGAAGTACTTTTCAAGCTCTGAGAGTAGATATAGTAATAAAGTACTCGATAAAATAAATGCACATCATTTTAAATGGTGAACTCACGTATGTGTGCCTTGGCTGCGCCTCGGCCCATATTTGTACGTTCGTCCATCAATGCCTCAATTGCTGGCCGCTGCAGTAATGTACTATTATTAAAACGTCTATCAGTATATTCTGCAGCAATGATATGCCAACAATCAGTTAAAGAATACAGAAAAACTACAACAATGGTTAAAAATAAAACGACTGTCTCATTGACCGAAGAAATTGCCAGAAAACAGCATCTTACGAAAGACGAACTACTGCATATTTCCACCGGCCTCCACAAGCGGGTCTCTTCAGTCAGGAAATTCAAGAGGTTTTAACAAGGGCAACGGTGCACTCGTTGGATAATTGACCAATTTCTCTTTCAACATTCATAATTGTTCAAAGGAATCGAAGGATGATTCTTCACCCTACACATTTATGTTGGAACATCTGCTTTACTAAATCATCGAAATTTTGAAAAAGGATATATTAAGAATTCTTCAGAGTCAGCAACGCGCACGTGACACCTCTAGTGCTGCAGGCGTCCATAAGCTACAGTAAACGGTTACCATTAGACGGGCTGTATATTTGTTTGCTACCTTCATGGTATAAAAAAATAAGCACTTGAAAGAGCAACTATGTATTAGGAGGATCAAGAAATTGACTGCCGGAAAATTAATAACCACAAATCCATAATCATTTTTGACGTTACTCAGTTAGGGTATTGGATATCTATAGACGAAGGTTAACAAGTTCTTATTATTGTAATGAATCTGATATTACATAACTATTGATACAATCAGGAATTGAAGGAATAAGCAATGATCGAATTAATCACTATATCCTTATAACTCATTAGGTCAAGTTAGTACCGAACGGTTGCAGTCTAGAGTTAACAAATGTTCTTGAAAGAATGTAAAGCAACCGCTGAAGAGCTATATTGAATACAGTTTTGCTATTGCTCATCAATTTAATCGTCATTTATAATACCAATTAAAAATGTGGTTATAGATTATTGGTGGAGAAGGAAATAAGTAAATGGATTATAAATTTATCAATGTCATGCTCGAAAATTCATAAATACATATATTTGAAAGTATCTGCTAGCGATGTACATTTGTAGTAAATGTTGATAAAATTGTAGGCGATAATCGACGTTGCAAATAACAAATTATCGATTACAACACATCATAGTATGAATCCATTCGGCTGGCTGAAATAAGAGTAGAAATTACCACGAGAGTTTACGAGAGATTATGAAAAGGATAAAAACGACGGCAATTCTGACACAAACTCCAAGACACGACGATGGGACGATTTAAATTCAAATCTTTAATACACAACAAATAAGAATCACAAAGTGAACAAAAATTGAAAAGAATTATACATAGAACATTGAAAAATGAGATTAGGTAACGCAAAAAAATCTGTAAAATATTTTTTTATCAGTTTATTTCGGACTATGCTCCAGTTATCGATAAGAAGCTGTTGCACAGTCAAATTCATTTATTATAGCCAAAAGTCATTACACTAGGTATTTACAATAAAATATTTAATACACCATGTTTTGTCTGGTTCGTGTAGATAAATATCTATGTATATTTTTTATTCTTTTTTTAGCCTTACTCAATGCAAGCTGTATATGGTGTCCGAGTTGGGGGCCTGGATTCCTGATATACAGATATCTGATCTAGTTTAGGGTTCTAGTCTCCCACAAGTTTTACAATGCATTTATACATGTATAGTTGTTTTTTTTTTTCATGTGACTGTCTTTTGCTGTAAAATTTGTGGAGAAAATAAATCAATCTATTATTATTATATTATTATATCTAGCTGTGAATGAAGTACATGTGTGTATTTTAAATTACAAACAACTATGGATGTTATCAATGACGGTAAAATAAATAATACGTAAATATAAACATGTAATTAACACACTTGTTTGTAGATATGATATGAAGTCGATAAAGTTTGAAGGATGGTCTTAACGTCACTTAGATTAAAGGTAACATTGATCGTCCGTATGTTTTAGTTTATATAATTTATAGTATTTTTTCTTTTTTCAAATATGTTTTTAAATAGACTTGTTTTTATTTATGTAGTAATTAAAATCATAAATTTATTATAGTGAGTGCAGTGAATATTGCGAATGTACGCGTATGAAGGTTAATATGTCGCCCTATAATTTTTAGTATATAAAATATTTTTTGTTATTTTGTTTAGTTGTAAATGTTCACTATCAATACTGCCGTGTCTATATGTTATTAAGATCAATAAACAAGAATATATATATATATATATACTCAAAGTATTGTTTTATTCTGGAGTTCCTAATACTATCTATGGAGGGGGGGGGGGGGGACAGGGATTGTATTCTTTGGACAATTAACGACTGATATGATGATAAAACAAATATACAAACATTAATAATTCTTTATATACATGTACAGGTGTGCTCGAAATGGTATTAAGATAGTTTTTTTTTTAAATAGATGATAATGAAATGGTAACCCCGCTTGCGCTATCGGTATGCACTAGCAGGGCACAATGAGGGATGATAGGTGACGACGAAAGCGGGTCAGTTAGCCCATCGTGACGAATTCCACTAGAATTAACTATGATGGTTTCCAGGGGGAACCGCGTGGAGGTCGACCTGATAGGGTGTTTTGCTAGCAATGGGTTCATTAGATGCTAACTAACAATCCCTTATCCTCTAAGGTATGAAAGTAGTAGTAGACAATTTTTGACTTCAGACGCAAAAAGATGGCTATTATAAGTTTGACGTGTGTGTTTGTCTGTATGATTGTTGTGGCAATGTAAATTCCAAACAAATGGATCCATTGTGATGCGGTGTTTTTGTTTGAAAGGTGACGTGATCGACATGGCTCTTAGCTACAATGCATGGAGATTTGTTCAGGTGTTACAACGTCATCAGCTCTTTTCAAGTGATTTCAAAAATAATACTTACAATTGGCTTTTTTTATGGGTGATAATGAAATAGTAACCCTACCCGCGTTATCGGTATATTTATCAAAATCGATTCAGCAGTTTACTTTTTAGATCAAAATTTATAACAATTGAAATCGGGTCTTTTTTGTGGGACACGATGTTTACTACATATTTTTTACTACATATTACCTCAGTTAATGAACATATCCTGATTACGTAGACGAAGTCGAGGGTAAAAACGAGTTAAATATAATGTGACTCTGTTTAAATACCTTACTTGTCAGTAAGTAAGTGTTTGTGCAATATAGCGTTAATTATTAAATTAATAATTTATTTCAGGCACTAACAGATCTATATAAAATGTTGTCACATGACAAAGGACAATATACAGTGACATCTGGTTATGTGAGACATTAAGGAAACTGTAACTTTGTCTTATTTATAGAGGTATTCAAGTTATCCAGTGTCGCAGATATCCAAGTATAAATATGGTTATGGAATGAGCTCCTTGCCGAGGTTTTCCTAAGAGACAACAGCAAGGGGTTCTTCAAAAGGGGGGTAAAGAGGTTTCTTCAGGGTCGGCAACGCGCGTGTAATATCCCTGGTATTAAAGGCGTCTATAGGCTACGGTAACCACTTACCATCAGGTGGGTCGTATGTTTGATTGCCGTTAGTGGTATAAAAAAAAGGTGTAAATAAATATCTGTCTCATTTACAGAGTTTTCCATTAATAGAGGTCAGATTACAGGTATTTTTTTGATGGATGAAAATGGTATGGTAACCCCGCCTGCGCTAACGGTATACGCTTGCGGAGCACCAGTGAAGGGTGATAGATGAGAATGAAATCAGGCCAGTTAACCCATCATGAAGAATTCATCAGGAATTAACCATGATAGTTTCCAGGGGGAAACGGCGAGGAGGTCGACCTGGTTAGGTATATTGCTAGCAATGGGATTCTCAGTCTCCAGTACTAACAATCCCTTTCCCCCCCAGAATACAGGTTAATTTGGCATTTTTTAAATAAACATCTATAAAAATAATAAACATCTGTAAAGCAAAACTAAAACTGAAGGTCATTGGAGGCTCAATATTAGTTAAGCGCGGAATTTGCGGGTAGAATAAGAATAAGTAAGTAACAAATTTAAATACAAAATAGCCCAAGTTAGAGAGGTACTAAATTGATGTTGTCTTAGCTACAGAGGTTTTTTTTAACGAATAATAATGGAATGAGAACCTCGCCTGCGCTAACGGTATACGCTGACGGGACACCAGTGAGAGATGATAGGTGAGATGAAAGGGTAGATCTGTTAGCCCATCATGATAAATACACCTGGAATTCAGCACGATAATTTCCAGGGAAGACCACGTGGAGGTCGACCTGAGATGATTAGATTAGAGATATTGCTAGCAATAGGACTGATAGTCCGCATTACTAACAATCCCTTCCCCTCCTCCCCAGTTACAGAGGTTAATGCATATAATATTTTAGATTACCAAAAAAAGGCAAAAAATCTTGGCATTATCTATATGGTATCATTATATATATGGTCTCCGCAAATCTCAGAGGTTTTAAAAAAACGTTTGCTGTTATTAGCGCCTTGAATAGATTACGTAATTTCCTTCCTGTTACCACCAAAAATGGCGCTTGCACACTCCTTACTCCTGCCCATTCTCGACTCCTGTTATTTAGACCTTACTGAAGAGCAATTAAACAAGCTTGAGCGTCTTCAAAATTTATGTATTCGCTTCACATTTGGTCTTCGCAAATATGATCATATTGTTCAATTTCGTACTCAACTCAAGTGGCTTCCTATCCGTTTTGGTCGTAATTTACATATCCTATCTCTTCTTTACGCGATTCTTTTTAACTCCATTGTTCCTGATTATCTTAAAGACCGATTCGTGTATCTCAGTGAGGCCAATGGCCATACTTCACGCTGAGTCAACAACCTCCGTCTCAAATTTCCTACTTACTCCAATTCCCTTTATTTTAATTCCTTTACTGTGTAGGCAGTTTGCCTGTGGAACTCACTACATACCTCTGTTCGGTGCGCTCAATCTCTCGCTACCATCAAAACCTCTGTTAAATCCTATTATCTCTCTCTTTAAGTACTATTTTCTCGTGTTCTGTCTTCATCTTCTAGTGTCACTCTTTCCTGCTGTATGTGTGCTTTTAAGTTTGTGTATGTTTATGTATGTATTTGTTTATATATAATAGTGCGCCACCTACCCTTTGTTTTTCTTTCTTTTTTCAATGTACTCTACCCAAAGGTTATCTGGAAGAGATAGCTTAGCGATAAGGCCGCCTTTTGTATCATTTCTCATTACAGTTAAATGTATTTACTATTACTATATTCTTTATTGCACTTGTAAATTATATTGTTAATGCATTTATAAATATTGTGAGCAAGGGTGGACTTATCTCTGACAGAGATATCTTAGTCAACCCAATGCAGTTAGAAAACATGTTGTTAGCGTCCCACTTAATCAAGTTTCACTCTATATATATTGAATAAACACAATATCCTTTACCGTTTGGATTAAAATCTGTAACCCAATATTTTATTACTGGGCAGTCAAACTGTTCCTGGATATTTTTAATAATAGTATTGCTACTATCTATAATTCTGTAACGAAAACTTGCTATTTTTTTTTCTTAAAACAGCAAAAGAAATCCGGTACTTTAGCCTGCGCGAACAGAGAGGGGGAGAAGGGATTGTTAGTAATGGGGATTAGTAGTCTCAATGTACTATTGCAATAAACACAAATATTTAATAGATCCAATAATGGATTTATTAAATATCATAATTTTCAATCACATTTCAATCAATATATATGTAGATATCCAACCGGTATGGGTGATATCGGATTACCCAAATTAAATTATTTTCTTTCTAACTACACTCAGTTTCGCTGGAAGAGATCTCTTTCAGAGATAAGTCCTCCCTTGCTAACAAGTTGTTAAACTAATCGTCGTATGTATTGTTTAAGTCTTGTTTGTACAAAGTCTACCAGAGGGAGACTTTGTACAAAAGTCATTTGCTTGGGTACCTCTGTCCCATTCGTGTTTCAACCATGAAGCAAATGTGTTTGTATGGCTGTGTTTCGGTTTGAAGGGTGGGATATGGCGTGAATTTACAGGGTACAGAGGAATAACACCTGAGTCCTCAGGAATGGCAACGCATGGGGGGTATCATGGGCGAATCAGTATATTCTGTTATGTCCATAGTACTGCTCATGTCTATAGGCGACAGTTATCACTTTCCATCAGGTGGGCCGTCAGCTTGTTTGCAATTCTAAGTCTATAAAAAAAAAGTGCAATAAAGAGGAATCCAATATATACGAGTAGATATCGTAACGGTACCAATAAAACCCATGCGTATTGTATAGTGTTGCATCCATAATTGTATGTATATAATTATCATATAGAGTCAAGTACAATGTGTATTCAAGCCAGTCTGCATTGCTTGTGATACGAGACGGTCGCGCGCTCGCCGTTCACTGTAACAATTACAATAAACAGTTTGAACATTTTGTAAAATGATCAGAAACCCTTTGTACGTGTATGGTCCAGATGCAATTAGTGTGCCAACGGATTTGAACTTTGGACAGTTCATTGTAAACAAGTTATGGGAGCAAGAAGACAGGCCGGCGTTGGTATGTTTTTTTTTTTTTTATTTCAATCGTTTTGTATATAATTATGTTGATTTACTTAATCTAGTTATATTTAATTACTAGCTGATTATACAAAGGTTTTTATACGATGCTTAGTTGTCGATATAAAAATTACTTTATCTCTTATCTGAAGTGAACAATATACATATAAAAAGAAATCATTAAAGTCGGTTAAACTGTTTACGGATTTTCAACCAAATTTGAAAAGAAGAAAGTTCTCAATTCGGTTGTATTTTTTTTATTTATGTTACCACACTTTTTAACTGTCCACTGTCAGCAGTGGACAGTTAAAGACATAAGCTTCTTTTTTTGGAGTTTTGCCACTAGTTGCCACACTTGGTTGGCAACTGTAGTTAGGATTTGAAGATGTTTTAAGAGAGAGGCTGCTGCCCATCCCTCGACCTTGAAGTTCCCTTTACATTATTTACAGCGCACAAATAAAAACAAAAATATAGAATTATAGACATATACAAAAAAAAAAGATAAAAAATACATATACAAAAAAAGGAAAATATTTTAAAGAAATAACATATTTTTTTCCTTTCAGTAACACAAAATGGTCACAACTCATTTTACGACTTTGCTCTTAAAAGAACAAAACACTGATATACCTATATGTGACCCTCAAAATTAAAGTCATAAATTTAAATTAGTCTTACATTATTTTGGTTTGGAAATCTATATACATATCAGCTGTTCATTTCATTCGGTTACCTTTTATTTTTCAGATTAACGGAATTAACGAAGATGTATACACTTACAGACAACTCGCTCAAGACACGTTAAATATATCTATCTCGCTTACGCTCAGAGGGTTAAGAAAAGGACAAACAGTGGCGATATGCTCTGAAAATAGAAAAGAGTTTTGGAGCGCTCTCTTTGGTTCGGCTTGCTCTGGAGCTACCGTGACCACTGTCAATCCTATGTATACTGCAGGTATACCTATACCAACTATATTCCGCAAATGATTGTAATATCATGCTTGCTGCTTAACATATCCCTACCTTTACTTATCGTGGAAGGGGAGGGGGTAATTAATTATTTTAACCATAGCTAGAAATATACCTACTCTTTCAAGTGGACCTCCACGCGTTTCAATCGTAAAGCAGTTGTGTTTGCATGGCTGTGTTTCGGTTTGAAGGGTGGGATATGGCGTGAATTTACAGGGTACAGAGGAATAACACTTGAGTCCTCAGGAATGGCAACGCATGGGGGGTATCATGGGCGAAACAGTATACTCTGTTGTGTCCATGGTACTGCCTATAGGCGACGGTTACCACTTTCCATCAGGTGGGCCGTCAGCTTGTTTGCCGTTTTAAGTTGTATATAAAAAAAAAAAAAACTACCGAGTTGATTTCCAAGTGTATTCATCACGATGGGCTAACTGATCTATCTTTTGATTTTCACCTATGATCTCCTACTGGTGCCCCGCCAGCGTATACCGATAGCGCAGGCGGGGTTACCATACCATTATCATCAATTAAAAAATAAAAACACGAGTAATGCAAAATAAAATAGATATGTTATTTTATTATCAATGATCGCATCTGTATTAGTATTTCTCTTATCAATGTAGTTATCACTGCTTTCTTGACGAACGAACGCTCTCAAGATAGGTTATCTTATATTAATAATAACAAATCTTGTAAGCAACTTGTCTAAATAATCTGTCTACACGATAATGTATCTACGTTTAATGAGACAAAGACATATAAAAACGTCTACAAGTTCTGATATGTATATATTTTTTTTATACAACTTAGAATGGCGAATAAGCTGACGGTCCACCTGATGGAAAGTGGTAACCGTCGCTTATATATATGAGCAGCACCATGGACATAACAGAGTATACTGTTTCGCCCAGGATACCCCCCATGTGTTGCCATACCTGAGGACTCAGGTGTTATTCCTCTGTACCCAGTAAATTTACGCCGTATTACACCCTTCACACCGAAACACAGCCATGCGAACACAACTGCTTCACGGTTGAAACACGAATGGGACAGAGGTGCCCAAGCAATCGACTTTTGTACAAAGTATATATAATATAAGTAGATAGATAGATACATAATCAGCATCATAACAGCTTTTAACTATCCACTGTTGAACGTAAGCCTCCCCCTTGGAGGATTTTGCTAGTAGTTGCCACGTTTGAGGCGACGAAGAGAGAGCGAGGGATAGGCAATATCCTCCCCTTTAAAACCCCTGATTTTTTTGCTATTTTACGTAATTTTAAGGCAAAATTTCATCAAAGATTAATGACAACAAGTAATCATATTGTAAAGACTGTATTCCTCACTGCATACCTGACGACTAAAGATTTTATAATGAAATAATTTAAATTAGTATTTTATAATTAATGTGTTTTTTTTTTAAAAAAAGATCATTTTCTCTCTAACTACACTGGGTTGGCTGGAAGAGATCTCTTTCAGAGATAAGTCCTCCCTTGCTAACAAGTCGTTAAACTAATTGTCGAATATATTGTTTAAGTGCAATAAAGAATATATAGTTTGTATAATTAATAATGTGATTGTAAACTATGGGTATATACCTGAAAATAAAGAGATTTATTATTATTATTATTTATTATTAAAACATCTCTAAAAGCCTAACTGCGGTTGCCAACCCGCCTGCCAAGCGTGGCAACTGCTGATAAAACTCCCCTTATGGAGAAGGTTTATGCCCAGCTGAGGACAATTAACGGCTGAAATAATAATGATAAAAAAAATATATTTTCATCTAATAGGTATCTACAAGACAAACCGAAATAAAAAAAAAACCTATCATTTGTACCGCATGTCAGTCAGTGTCTACCTGTCTCTCTCTTCGTCCTCTTCATTACTGAAGGTCGTGTCCTTGAAAGGTGTCTGTTGCCTCTCTTATGATGTTACTCCATTTCGCAAGGTCTCCAGACTCTCGCAGGGCAGCTGCAATTGACAGTCCCGTAAACGGCGGTTACTTGGTCCGACCATCGACTAGTTGATCGTCCGCGTGTTTTTTTCCCCTCTATCTTGCCTACAACTATTAGCTCGTCCAGATTCTCGTAGATAGATAGATACTCTTTATTGTTTCCTTGAAAATATTACAACAGTAAACTTATGATAAATATAAACAATTACAAGAAATAATCACAATGAGAAAACAATTGGCGACCTTATCGCTAAGAGCGATCTCTTCCAGCCAACCTTTGGATGGAGAGGAGTAATTATAAACAGATTGTCGGACTATCTACATTGTCTATCTACGTATACCTATTTTGAATTTGAACTTTGTTATATTACGTGAAACAATAATTATGATTTAAACATGGACTTCAATCGTTATATAATATAAGTAATATTGTCACAATACGAACAGATATTAGATGTATATTTGTACAAAGTGCTCTCAATATTAAATTGTATGATACGTATGTATGATTCTAAAACAAGCATTTCGTCATTAAATACATACTTTTTAATTCCAATTGTATGATAAGATTCTTGTTTAGCTGTGTAGAAAATAGCTATATATATAAATATTTAATTTACCTATATAAAGATATATAAGAAGGTACAATAAAATTAATAAAATTGTTCCTATACATATTTCACTATGGGATACGAATTCAACGATAAATTAGTCTCGATAGTTTCCAGGAGGAACCGCGTGGAGGTCGACCTGTTAGGGTAAATTGCTAGTAATGGGTCTGTTGAATCTCAGTACTAACAATCCCTAAAAACTAACAATCTCCCTCCCCCCCCCCCCTCGTTATATCATACGGTTAGAATACACAAAGGGAGTCGAATTCTCCCTTATTAGACTTAAGGGATAACTAAAACTGGTTTCTTCATGTAATAAAATATTGTTTATTTTCAGGCGAACTGAAGCATGTACTCGGTATATCGAAGCCAAAATATATATTTTGTTCACCGTTCTTCTTCAAGAAACACGCGAAGACACTAAGAGAATTTACTTACGTTAAGGACATAATCCTATTTGGAGATGACAGGCCTGGCCAACTGATCCTCTACAAAGATCTGGCATACCCAACAAATAGTAGTCAATCAGATATCATAGTTGGCAACCGTTTGGCGAGGAACGTGAAGATCGAAGAGTTCCAGGCAGCAGATGTCATCGGTCAGGTCGATGTGCTGTTTATTTTGTATTCATCAGGGACTACGGGTCTACCGAAGGGAGTTATGCTCACTCATCACAATGTCCTGACCTTTTGTAATCTGTTAGTATTGATTTTTTTATGCAACTTAGAATGGCAATCAAGCTGACGGCCCACCTGATGGAAAGTGGTCACCGTCGCCTAAAAAGACCAATAGGTACTGGAATATGTTGTATTTATATCCTTTTTAATATTTTATAAATATGGCAACACGGCCTTAAATGAGTCATTCGCAGTTTGGATGCTGAACGGTTAACACCGGGCTCCGAGTAGCGATGTATTAATTTGTCTGAAGATTGCTCGTTTAGAAGTGAAACACGTGCATATTACAAAATGTGCGTGGACGAAATCGCAGTCGGAGATTGGTAATAATAATAGCTGTCAATCGTCGAGTGTTGCCAGTCGCACGTATACTAATTATAGCAGAAGTAAACAAAGTAACTCTTATGAAATAACCTATTATACCCCAATAAACATGGAATTCCGTAAAATAACACCTTGTTCTGTAAAAAAGAACGAAATTTATGATTTTTTAGTCTTTATTTCACACAAAGTTAAGGTGTGTGTCCCACAAAAAATCGACTTCAATTATGGCAAAAGATTTTGATAAAAAATTTATGGGACCAATTTCTAAGTACATCACTTTAGATAAAAATAATCCAAATTGGTTTATACTTAACGGATTTACATAACAAACATAAAGAAACGCATCCGAATTGGAAACCTCTTTTTTGAAATTGATTAAAAAAGAGATTATAAAGGTAACGGTATTAAACAGTACAAATAAAATATTTATTTATTTCCAGGAGCAAGTTTGGAAATGCAGACTTTAAAGCACTAAGCGTAACCCCATGGTTCCACGCTATGGGGCTCATTGGTCTCATTGCGGGATTTTCTATTGGGAAAACAACGGTATTCCTACCGCGATTTGATGTTGATCTTTACCTGAAGACTGTGGAGAAACATAAGGTACGAATAGATTTAAGTAATTTATAAAATAGAATAATACAAAAGTTTAAAAAAAAATCAAATCTATACATTTGAATAAAATTGGAGTGTCTGTTTGTAATATTGAAATAACCATTTTTTACTACATATATATGAATATAGATGCGGTACATACACCAAAATAACATTTTTTACAACTTTCGTCCGTCTGTCTGTCTGTCTGTCTGTTTGTTCCGGCTAATCTCTGAAATGGAGTCTCTCTCACCAGAGGGAGACTTTGTACAAAAGTCGATTACTTGGGTACCTTTGTCCCATTCGTGTTTCAATCGTGAAGCAGTTGTGTTTGCATGGCTGTGTTTCGGTTTGAAGGGTGGGATATGGCGTGAATTTACAGGGTACAGAGGAATAACACCTGAGTCCTCAGGAATGGCAACACATGGGGGGTATCATGGGCGAAACAGTATACTCTGTTATGTTCACGGTACTGCTCATGTCTATAGGCGACGGTTACTACTTTCCATCAGGTGGGCCGTCAGCTTGTTTGCCATTCTAAGTTGTATAAAAAAAATTGAGATTCTCATTTCGGTTGTATTTATTTTTACACGTATATTTGTTACCTCATAATTTCGTCAGTTATAAACTGATTTGGAAAATTCTTTTTTTTTATTTCTAAGGATATAAATACTTACAGATTGATCTTATAGGAATTTTCTCAAATTCGGTTTAGTAGTTCAGTTTTAAAATCAAAGAATTTGGTTTTGGCATAAATGAAATCGGGTTTTTTTGTGGGACATAATCTTTAATTATAAAGAGTTAATTTTATTTGTCGTCTAAATTAAATATGATTAAAAGAATATGTTATTAACACCTGTATTTATTTAAGTACATACTGCGTATATCTTATATATAAAATTCTCGTGTCACGGTGTTTGTTACAAAACTCCTCCGAAACGGCTTTATCGATTTTTATGAAATTTTGTGTGGATATTGGGTAGGTCTGAGAATCGGCCAACATCTATTTTTCATACCCCTTAATGATAAAGGTGACCCATCCCAAAATATTTTTTTTGATTTTTTGCAATTTTTGCAAAGCATTGAAAAATACACACAACTTTAAATTTTCATCGTTTTACGATCAACCCCTGTATATTAATTGTGATTTTTATATTTTGCAATAAGTGATAAAACAACGTTTACGGGGTCAGCTAGTATTCTTATATAATCTTGAATTTTTCAAATACATAATTATCATCGCCAATTTTCTCAATTTTTATGTCAATTAATAGAATTTAAATTCACGCTGTGGAAATAAATTTCAATAGATCGATAATGGAATTGAGACGTTTCACACTGGAATCGCAATATTAACGTTTAGTACTGGGGGGGGGGGGGGATGAAAGAAAATTATAAAAGAAGAAGCTTCTCATTATGCTCCGATTTTTTTAATACCCTTTATTAATAAGTTTATAATTTTTAGTTGATTATACAACTGACGGAGTTATGAGGTAACATAACTTCTTCTTTTTGAAGCCGGTTGAAAACTCACGATATTTTCATTTCAGATAGTCCGGCTAACCGTAGTACCCCCAATACTGATGGCCGCGTGTAAATCGTCTACCACTTATGATCTCAGTTCAGTTCGTCTCATTGCCTCCGGCGCGGCGCCATTGCAGAACGATGCTATTAGCATAGTGAAACAAAAGTGAGTACCGTAACACACACACATACGCGTACTCGCACGCACATGCACATATACGCACACACGAACGCACACGCACGCACGCACGTACGCACGTACGCACGCACGTACTTACGTACGCACGCACGAACGCACGCAAAGACGCACGCATGCTCTTCTCACTAGCACCATTTTTGAGTAATTATCAAAAAAACCTCCAAATACAAACTTAGATAATAATTTTTAACCTAAGAAATGAAGTGAAGAATGAGAGAAATTACAAATTGAAATATCAATAATAATTAACTATTACGTATCTATTTCGTATACAGAAAATATTTTTACTTCTTATCTATCTACGTACAGAACCCTCGGTGTGTGAGTTCAACTCTCATTTAACCGATTTCTCAAATTGTTTCAGATTTCCCAACGTTGAAGCAGTGTTGCAGGCATATGGCATGACGGAATGCACTTTGGCTGTTATTGTTTCAGATTTCGAAAACTCTACCAATACGAAACCTGGCAGCGTGGGATTAATAGTACCCAATGCTATAATAAAGGTAGATAAAATAATCCTTTTTTTTTAAATACATAATTAATTAAATTAATTAAATGTACATAATCTATGTACATTTGATGACACTTTTGTGGGATTTTTTTATTTGCAAAAGATACTTTTTTAATTATACAGTACTATCATGCCTACTTGTACAACAATTAGTCTATTACCTTAAGGTTGTCTTGAAAAGATTGCTCTCAGCAATAAGACCGCCTTACTGTACTTATACAATTGTATCGTTGTGTTTATAAATTGTCTTGCTTATTTCCTATATTGTATAATGCAAGTAAAGTATACTCATTCATTCATTCATTAAAATAACACAATAATTAATTATGTCTTATCACTAGATGGTGTGTGCCCCGGCATAAAACGGGCAACCCCTTCCTTTCCCGTGGGTGTCGTAACAGGCGACAAAGGGAGGGCGAGAGATGAGCAACAGCGTCCCTCTTAAAATATCTCTAAAAGCCTAACTGCGGTTGCCAACCTGCCTGTCAAGTGTGGCTACTACTGGCCAAACTTCCCTTAAGGGCCTTTCCGTTAAGGGAAGTTTTGCCATGTTCAGCAGTGGACAATTTTAGGTTGAAATAATAAAAAATATAAATAAACTAAGAGGTGATGGTATTCCATGATTTTCAGGTGGTAGATACAGAAACTAGGAAACCCCTAGGGCCTAATAAGCCAGGAGAGCTGTGCATCAAAGGCCCCCTGATCATGAAGGGATACGTCGGGAAGGACAGGAAGGAAGACTTTGATGAAGAAGACTTCTTTAGGACTGGTGACATTGGATATTACGATGAGGACGGTCACTTCTTTATTGTGGACCGCTTGAAGGAGCTCATTAAATATAAAGCATTTCAGGCAAGTTCATAAGTATGTTTTGAAAAATATTGCTCTTGTATTCTAGGATGATATACAGCTTAATTTTAAATTTTCGCGTTTTTGACACATATATTAAACTAGCAACCCGCCCCGGCTTCGCACGGGTTCTTTACAAAATATATAAAATAGCCTATTTTACTCCGAGGAGGTGTAGCTTTCGGCAAAATTAGTTGTGTAGTTTTTGAGTTAAATCGTAACAAACAAAAAAATCAATTATCTTTTCTTACGTTATATATAATATCTACTTACACTACCTAATATTATAACCCCACCTCCCCCCCCCCCCTTCCCCCGCCCTATCGCTGGGTCATTAGGCGTGAGGTCACGGGGCACCGATAAAATCACGGCGACACGAAATAATTTCGTTTCGCATTATATTGATTTTGCTATTTCTCCTAAAGTATTCATTTAATTTGCATGGTGTAAAAGAAAAAATAATATTCATGAAATGCTCAAATCAACTAATTTATTTAAAATGATAACAATTAATACCATATTCGTGTAAATAGCTTTCCAATTACCGCTTTGTAATTGTCCATTTTTTTTAAGTATTAAAATGGATATAGTATGTTATCCTTGAGAGATAAACATATGCAATCGCAGAGTTTTCTGTAGACCTTTCGTTGAAAGCTCCCAGACGCCTTGTTTTTTTCCGACACCTCCAACAAATATTGTTATATTTTAGCCAATGTATACAAAAACTAAACAAGTTATATACTGAAACCTTCCTCGAGAACCGTTCTATCTATTGGTGAATACAGAATGACAATCGGTGCAGTAGTTTTTGAGTATGTCGCGAACAGACAGACAAATAAACGCGTTTTTTATTATTTTATTATTTTATAATATGTAGTGATAATATGCTATCGGGATTTACAGGTAAATAGTATCTAATTTTTATTATCGATCTTTCGACGTTAATACACTTAAGATACGCGACAATTTGTTGTCTTTATAGACGGCTACCACATTCACCGTGGCATTCCATTGCATAAAAAAAAAAAACAACTGATTCAACAATTATTGATTTGCATAAAATTTATTGTATTTTCAACCGTTTCAGGAGTAAGGAGGTTCTCTATTCAGTTGTAACATATCTTTGTTTACACATATGTTTGTTAACTTGTACCTTAATACTAACAGATTTGGAAAATTCTTTGCTTATTTAAAAAGATAAACTTACTTATCTTACTTGCTCGCATAGAAATTTTATCAAAATCAGTTTAGTTTTAAATCAAAATGACTGGTTTTGTGACTGTTTTGTTTGGTAAATTTGTTACTAATATAATATTACTAAATAAACCAGGATCATGTTTTACAAAAATTGCCCACTTCAACTATTTTCGATGTGGGTAACTCAACGAATTTTCTTGCGTTAACTCAGTAACTCAAGCGCACTCGACTCATTGGGTTAACATAAAATTGGGCTATGATACACAGGATAATGAGTCTTAGTATTTTTTTTTTATACAACTTAGAATGGCAAACATGCTGACGGCCCATCTGATGGAAAGTGGTAACCGTCGCCTATAGACATGAGCAGTACCATGGACATAACAGAGTATACTGTTTCGCCAATGATACCCCTCATGCCTTGCCATTCCTGAGGACTCAGGTGTTATTCCTCTGTACCCAGTAAATTCACGCCATATCCCACCCTTCAAACCGAAACACAGCCATGCAAACACAACTGCTTCACGATTGAAACACGAACGGGACAGAGGTACCCAAGCAATCGACTTTTGTACAAAGTCTCCCTCTGGTGGTATATTATATTTTTGGCACTTTGCCCGTTGGCTGAGTGGCCCCGGCATAGAATAGGCCACCCCTTACTTACGAGAGATGGGCAGCAGCGTTCCTCTTAAAACATCTCTAAAGCCTGACTGCGGTTGCCAAACCTCCTGCGAAGCGTGGCAACTACTGGCAAATCCCTTCAAGGGGGATTATGTTCAGCAGTGGACGGTTAAGGGCTGATATGATGAAGATTTTGACTCGTTACAGGTGGCACCAGCGGAAATTGAAGCTCTTTTGCTCAAACACGAGGCGGTTAGAGATGCTGGGGTCGTGGGACGAAAAGATAGGGACAGTGGGGAAGTGCCGATAGCTTTCGTGGTGAAGCAGCCAGGGAAAGAAGTCACAGAGAAGGAACTTCAGGACTTTATCGCTGAGAGGGTTTGTACTTATTTAACTGGAATATGGGAGTTATATAATATTATTTTGTTTGCTGTTTACAGCCAACGTCATAAAGTAGAAAGTTCTCAATTCCGTTGTATTTTGTATGTTTGTTACCTCATAACTCCGTCCGTTGTAAAACGATTTGAAAAATTATTTCTTTTTCTGAAAGGATTTGCTTATAGATTAATCTTGTAAAAATTTTATCAAAATCGGTATAATAATTTAGTTTCTTTAGAAAATAACTCTTAAAATAACTAGTTTTGATTATTGACAAACGTTTTGACTTCACTTGGAAGTATTCATTAGTTTTTTTTTTTATTTTTATTGGCCATGTTACTATATTATATCAAGTAGCCTATCAACTCATATGAATTGAAGACATATGCCTTAATCTATTAAAAACTTATGTAATTTCAAAACGTATTGTCTTATTATTATAATGTGAGTGCATCTTAAAATGATAGATTCAGGAATTATAAGTCGAATTTGATAATTCTAACTGCAAGTCGGTTACATATATTACATAACTTTAGCTTAACTAGTTATAAACGAAAGTTTGTGAAAATGTATGATATATTCCCCCTAGAAATCATTGTAGTTAATTCTAGTGGAATTCGTCACGATGGGCTAACTTACCTGCTTTCATCGTCACCTATCATCCCTCACTGGTGCCCCGCCAGTATATACTGATAGTGCAGGCATTTTTCACCCATTAAAAAAAACTTTTTTGAACAGATTTTTTGGCAGGACGGCTTCACGCGGGTGAAGTCACAGGAAATATATTTTAGGATCTAATTACGTAAAATAATTTAATTTTCTAGTTGTCAAACCCGAAACGTCTCCGTGGCGGAGTCAAGTTCGTGACTGAAATCCCAAAGAATCCTAGTGGCAAAATACTTAGGAGGGAACTTCGAAGAATTGCGAATAGTAACAGCAAACTGTGATATTTATATATTGTACAGTAGAATTAATATAATAATAAAATATTTTTATTAAAAGAGTGTTTCAAATTACATTATTTTATTCATACTTGGTGTCGTAAAAGGCAATTAAGGGAATTGAAAGGTTAATAGACGGACAGGAGCATCCCTTTTAAAATATTACTAAAGTCTAACTGCATTTGCCAATCCGCCTGCCAAGCGTGACAACTACTGGCGAAACTCCCAAAAGATAAAGAGAGGCCAATGTTCAGTAATGATCAGTTAACGGCTGATTTGATGACGATGATTGATAGTTTTCAATGTTGTCCCAAACAGTTTTCACTTCCAACATTCCGTTGTGGACAAAAGTCATTTTTTTATACAACTTAGAATGGCAAACCACTAGGCGTCATGTCGTATAGGGAGATAAAGGATATGGCCTGGGATAGAGCTGGCTGGAGGAAGATGCATGAATTAGTTGCACCGACAAGAGGAAACTCTTAATTGAAAAGAGAGAGAGAATGGCAAACAAGTTGACGGCCTGCCGGATGGAAAGTGGTAACCGTCGCCTATAGACATGAGCAGTACCATGGACATAACAGAGTATACTGTTTCGCCCATGATAATTTGTGTTCACAAAAGTCACTACTTGAGTTTTTTTTATGCAACTTAGAATGGCAAACAAGCTGACGGCCCACCTCATCTCGTCCGTCTTACAACATCACCAAAGCCTAACTGGCTGCCAACTAGCGTAAAAAGCGTGGCAATTGTTGGCAAAACCCCCCAAGGAGAGACCTATGTTCAACAGTGGCTAGATAACGGTTGTATTATCGCCATTATCAGTTTGCCCGGGGGTTGGGGGAGGGAGGGGCGTATAAAATGGTCGTCAGATAATGCACATTACAAGCCATCGTGTACGACGAAGACGGCCTTGAAACTCTTGACGTCATCTATGCATGTGATAACATGACATAGCAATATTTTTAGGGCTCCGCACTGCAAACAGGAAAATAAACTTTTAAAAAAGTTAAACCGACTTCGAAAAATCAAAGAAAAAAATCACAAAGTCAAAAATGTTAGATTTATAATTTAAAGGAGAAAGTCTGTGCCAGAGGATGCGTTATGTTATTTTTAACAGATTTGTATAATTTAGCAGCTGCTTACAGTTGTTTAACGGGTTGGTCTTTAGCTTTAACAAAAAAACAAAAATATTTGAGTATTTTATTAGATTTTTTTTTAATTAATTTAAACTGTATAATATCATTATTATTGTTCTTGTTCTATTTAGGCTTGGCACCGACTTTATATTTATTAATATCTGTTTATTTTTCATTTTTTTTATTTCTTATTTCACCTTTTCTCGTCTGAAGTGGGTTTAACTTTTTTTTTTAATATTATTTTAATTTCTTCTTTTTAGTGTAAATCATACATAAGTGACTAGAAATAACATAATCCTCGTATAATACAAACTGTCATTATATCAAAGCAGTGTCATTATAGCAAACTGTAAGTTAGTTTTCTTTTATGCAACTTAGAATGCCAAACAAGTTGACGGCCCACCTGATGGAAAGTGGTAACCGTCGCCTATAGACATGAGCAGTATCATGAACATAAGAGAGTATACTGTTTCGCCCATGACTAACATTGAGGAATTGTGCGTTCCATCATCAGCTCAGCAGCATGAGATGATGACTATGATACAAATAGAAAGAAAGAAAATATTGTCAACAATAAATATAATTACATTAATTATGAATAGTAAACAAACTTTACATTTGTTATTGCCAACATGGCCGCCATTCAGCATGTGCTGCAGCGAATTAACCTTTCTTTGCATGATTTTTTTTTATTGGTGAAATAAATCAAGGTGATATAATTCATGTCCATAATTAAAGAAAAAATGGTTAAAAAAATAAATTTGACAGCTATGGTTTTTTTTTTCTGCAATGGACATTAAAAAGGTATACAGACACGATCAACTTAAAGTGAACTTGTTCTTTTATATAATTTTTGGGCATTCAATGTTATGATGGAAATTTCCACCATTATGTAAAGAAAGGTTAATTGCTACAGCGCTGATATGCTGTGGTAGCCATGGGTGACGTCACGAACGACGACAGCAAAAAAAAAACTAATAATAAATAAATAAATAAAAATATAATGTAACATAGACACGATTGTTGCTCATACATTTATGATTATTCGAATTCAAATTAAAGTATCTGATCTAATTTCAGATGTAGGGAAATCAATGAAATAGACACATTTCTTGATAGTATACTGAAATAATATAAATATGGCGGTTTTAAGTAAGACCTTCAGGAATAGAATAGTGAAAACCGCATAAAATTTGATGCAGTATATTTTGGTGATCTACATCTAAATTAATATTAAAAAGAGGAATAATTTTTATTTTTGTGTGTATGTTTGTAATGAATAAACTCAAAAACTATTTGGCCGATTTGAAAAATTCTTTCACCCTTAGAAAGCTACATTCACCTTGAGTAACATAGGCTATATTTATTGCTAGAAAAGATTAAGGATCCTTACTAAAACTTTAGTAACGTAACTCAAGGTGTAAAAAAATGCTATAAAATATCTTTGGTCGCGTGCGCTGCGGAAACTATTGGTGATAGAACAAAAGTATGTTCTACAATATTGAAGAAAATATCAATAACTGAAAAAAAACTTAGTATAGCAAAGTTTTTTGTAGTTATCGATATTTATTATTATTATTATTGTTGAGTTGATGATGATATTATTGATGAGTTATTGATATATCCAACTATTGTCGTTATGTCACAATAATCACTTTTTAATATGTTGTAAAAATGTCCATCCGTGCGAAGCTGGGACGGGCCGCTAGTACCGGAATAAACATAGAGATATACACTTCTAAAAATAATCGTTGTTTTTTTACTCCTATAAAAATCCGTTTAATTTAATTTTCTTTTTAAATATCTTCTATGTGCAGTCATTTTTAGGCTATGATTTAATTATATTTGTAAGATTAGATAAGATGCATGCTTTGCGTAAATTGGCCATAGTGTAATTATAATTCTCAAGTAAGCTACCAAAAATCCTGTCACTAAGAGCTATTTTTTTTTCGCGTTTTCGCCGTGGAATTATTTGACTTGGAAATTTTGTGTTTTAGAAAGCTGCGACATCAGTGAGTGATATAGTTTATGTTCATGTGTGTGAGGTATTATAACAAACTGCCAGTCAATCAATTAACTAATCAATAATTTATTTGCGTAAAAATAGGTATAGTTATAAGTTTGATGTTGCAGTAATGTACTGTAAATTCAAAATAGATTGTAATTATATATATATATATATATATATATATATATATATATATATATATATATGTATATATTAAAATTATTATTATGTTTATGAACGCAATAGAACCAAAACAATGATTTTTGAATTTTTGTCTGTATGTCTGTTTGTCTGTACATATTGTAGAGGAACACTGATAATTTTTCTATATAAAGGTTTCTAATGTGATGTGATGTAATGTGCACCGGGGCTGGTCGCTAGTTTAACATAATCGAAAATAAATATCCGACCGATAAGGGCGAAATCGAAATGGGTGACCTTTTTCCCGCCATCAGTTCAGAATATATAGATATCAGATATTTTTTTTTTATGTGTGAAAATGGTATGGTAACCCCGCCTGCGCTAACGGGTTACGCTGGCGGAGCACCAGTGAAGGGTGATAGATGAGAATGAGAACAGGCCAGTTAGCCCATCATGATGAATTCATCAAGAATTAACCACGATAGTTTCCAGAGGGAACCGCGAGGAGGTCGACTTGGTTGGGTATAATGCTAGCAATAGGATTCTAAGTCTCCATTATTAACAATCCCTTTCCCCCCATAGATATCAGATATTACATGGCCTAATTATTCTCCTCGGTTTGCTAATTCAGCTCACATTTAATCAGTTTTATGTTTGTTTTGTGTTTATTTAGGTTTAACAGTTTTTTTTTTTCAATTATATTCAGTACTTCAGTCGATTCATTACCAGTTACATCTTACGGACGTAACTGGTAATGAAACGGAATACAGATAAGCTGCCAGAAATTTTTCACTTCTTATACATATAATATATTTTATTTTTTTTAAATTTATTATGATTAATTTACATTACCTTATCTTATATTCGCATATGGGGTCAGCTAAGCTGTTGCACGCGACCCATCGGGATCTTTTGTGCTTCCCCCTGCCTTATACCATCATTTCATAGATCCTTTGTGTTACCTTGACGATATCCCGTGGTTTAAGATATCTGTAGTCCCCTGGTTCTGGATAAGCCGTTCCCAGTAGACTCATACGCATACTTGCCAACAAATCGCAGTTGCACATCAAGTGTTCTAAAATTATACATACAATAGATTCTATATTCTTATTTAAAAAAAAAAATTATAGTAAATTTATAAATATCTTTATTGGTTCATTTATTTCTTAACTAGGCCCCTTAAAGATTTTAGTATTTGAAATTAATTTTGGTATAATTGTAAGTTAATTAATTAGTAAGGGGTAATTAGGTCGTGCCTTTGTTATGGATAATTCAGGATAAAGTCACGACCTTTGTCATTCAATAACATTGAACGAGAAACATGTGTATGTAATGTGTGAAAAGAAATATTATTTTTGTGTGTTTTTATTTTGTAATATTTCTGTCAAATTTGAACAGTTTTTCTTTATTTTGATTCAATAATAAATACTCTTTTTTAATGTTACCTGTACGATAATTTTGCGAATTTTGTACTAAAATAGTACAGGTAAAGGTGCAGTTTTGTTTCGAGGAAATACTTATTCACTTAAAACAACTACATATTGAGTAGTTTATAATATTTTATTTACAAAACTTTAATTATTGTTTCAGTATTTTGAATGAATTTTCGCAAGTCACACTTGACCGATTTGTTTTTGATCATTTATTTTAGTGATAAATAAAAAAAAAATGTTGAGAAAACAAAATTATTTGTACGGCACTACAGATGTGTCGATACCGAACAAGAAGAGTTTTGCGAAGTATTTGCTGGACCGATTTTATCAGATGAGAGAACAGATAGCTCTTGTAAGTATCTATATATGTATATGTATAAACTAGCCGATCCGGCGAACTTTGTATCGCCTAACAGTTGATTCTTTAATTTTTTAGTTTTTTTTAATACTTATTCTGTTATTCGGGACGCCGTAGTAAGATAAAAAAAAGAAAAACGAAAGTTAATAAGTCAATTATTACATTATGTCAAAAAATAAAAACTATAAAACACGTCGTGCCACGTCACTCAATTGTTTTGCCTTCCTAAAACCTTTTCACTAACACTTGAACTTTATAGTATGGTATTCAAGTTCAAATTGACTTTCAAGTGTTATTACGAATCCCTACATACATTAAGCGATATATTATTAAACTCGAATTCCAAATTTCTTCAGATTAATGGTGCAACTGACAATGTTTTGAGATACGGCCAAATTGTTCAAGAAGCAATGAATCTGGCCATATCGCTCACTCATCTGGGAGTACGGACGGGGGACGTCGTTGCTCTTTGCACTGAAAATAGGGACGAGTTTTGGGGCACAATGCTGGGGATCATTTGTACAGGTGCTGTCTTCACCCCATACAATCCGACTTATAGCGCTGGTCAGTATTTTTATATTTCTAACTAGCTTTATGTCAGGGCTTTGAATCAGTATGTAAACTACCTATACCAAGTGTTAAGTTAGGATATATCTTACCCGTGCATCAAATTTCATTCAAATCTGTTTATCTGTTTAAGTGTGAATTTTTTATACAACTTAGAATGGCAAACAATCTGACGGTCCACCTGATGGAAAGTTGTAACCGTCGCCTATTGACGTGAGCAGTACCATGGACATAACAGAGTATACAGTTTCGCCTATGATACCTTCCATGTGTTGCCATTCCTGAGGACTCAGGTGTTATTCTTCTGTACTCTGTAAATTCACTGCCATATCCCACCCTTCAAACACAGCCATGCAAACACAACTGCTTCACGGTAGAAACACGAATGGGACAGAGCTGCCCAAGCAAACGATTTTTGTACAAAATCTCCCTCTGGTAAAATGAATAACAGTTGACTGAATAACAAACATCCCAACGTCTAAATATCTTTACAAACGTTCATATTAATAATACTAGATGTATTTTGTATGTTTGTCTACGGGAACCTGTATATATCGCTCAGGCTGGGGAATGAACTTCCTGTCAAGATTTCCCATGAGCCTACAGTATGGGATTTTTCAAAAAGGGTATATTAAGGTTTCTTTAGAGTCGGCAACGCGCACGTGACACCCCTAGTGTTACAGGCGTCCATAGACTACAATAACTGTTTAACATCAGACGGGCTGTATGTTTGTTTACCACTTTCGTGGTTTAAAAAAAGTTAGTATATATTTTACGTTCTCAGTTAAGAACTTATTAAGTGGATAAATTAAGATTGTGCGTCTTAAAAAACCGACTTCAATTGTAGCAAAACCAGTTATTTTGATTTAAAAACTAAACCCCTGAACAGATTTTTATAAAATTTCTTTGAAACTAATTTATAAATATATTGTTTTCTAAATTGGTTTAGAAATTATGAAGTTATGAGGTAACAAACACAAAAAAAAACATACAAACGATGTATCAACTTCTCCTGTTTTAAGTCGTTTGAAAATGACAACATTCCTTAGTTTTTATTGTTAACTTAATAAAGTTTATAGAATTTCTTCGAATAGTTAATGATTAAATTAACTTCCACAGGCGAAATGAAACACGTACTGGACATATCCAAGCCTAGCTACTTAATATGCTCGCCTTTGGCTTATAAAGCTCACGAGAAAACTTTCGAAGGCACAAACCGTTTAAAGAGGATCATATTATATGGAGACGAGAGTGTTAAAAATACAGTATTGTACAACGATTTGGTAATAGCTGGCAGTAATGGTGAAAGTGAGTTGGTATTTAGAAACAAGCTGTCGAGGAATGTAAGATATGAAGAATTCGAAGTTGCTGACCCAATTGATGGATTGGACGGCGTTGTGGTCATTATGTACTCGTCAGGAACCACGGGCTTGCCTAAAGGAGTGCAAATCACGCATTCAAACGTGATTTGCGCGTGTTCCTCTTCGTGAGTATTGATTTTATTTAATGACATATATAACAATAATGACAATATTTAATGAAATCAATTTATTTTACTAGAATTTAGGTATTTTTTTTTATATAACTTAGAATGGAAAATAAGCTGACGGCTCTAGCTTATTTACTAAGTGATTTTAAGCAATATAGCATTCATTTTTATCCAATTAAGTACCTTAAATACATTGTCCATTTAATATAGATCAATATAGCCCTATAGATAATTATAGCATGTAATTTAAATGAATATTTCCGAAGATATTACAGATTTAATATGCAGGGACATAGCGGTGCGGCATTGCACCCGTGCGAAGCCGGGGCGGGTCGCTAATTGGAAATATACGTATTTTTTTTTATGGGTGAAATTGGTATGGTAATCCCGCCTGAGCTAACGGGATACGCTGGCCGAGCACCAGTGAAGGGTGATAGATGAGAATGAAAACAGGCCAGTTAGCCCATCATGATGAATTCATCAGGAATTAACCATGATAGTTTCCAGGGGGAACCGCGAGGAGGTCGACCTGGTTGGGTATATTGTTAGCAATGGGATTCTTAGTCTCAATTACTAACAATCCCTTTCCCCCCATATACGTATATTTGCGAAAGGAACTTAGAAGACGTGAACGGAAGCCAAAGGGAAACAATAGAGATGCGTGTTAATTTCGAATTTGGTAAATAATAATATAAAAACTATTAATAGTATATGTGGCCTGTACCCATAGGTACCATATACATTACTGTGTAATTGTGCGTCGTTTACTATGCTACTGTCCATTGTCTCATGTCTATAGGCGACGGTTACCACTTTCCATCAAGTGGGCCGTCAGCTTGTTCGCTATTCTAAGTATTGTACAAAAAGAGGTAACATGTATGTATTTTTTTTCTAAGGATATTGAGATTCACTCGACCGAAATCTCTTATCGTCACTCCCTGGTTCCACGTTATGGGCTTAGTGGGAAGTGCAATAAACTTATTTGCAGGTCAAAGCATCATAGTATATCTACCGCGATTCAATGTTGAGCTTTATTTGAAAACGATTGAAAAATATAAGGTAAGTTAAAACGATAGTTTTACCATACGAAGGCTGTCTTTTTCATGCAACTAAGAATGGCAAACAAGCTGACGGCCCACCTGATGGAAAGTGGTAACGGTCGCCTATAGACATCAGCAGTATTGTGGATATAACAGACTATACTTTTTCGCTTTGTGCATGCGTTGCCATTCCCGAGGACTCTGGTGTTATTCCTCTGTACCCTGTAAATTCACTGCCATATTCCACCCTTCAAACCGAAACACAGCCATGTAAACACAACTGTTTCACGGTAGAAACACGAATGAGATATAGGTACTTAAGCAAACGACTTTTGTGCAAAGTCTTCCACTGGTAGGTAGGTATGTGGTAAATCGTTTGCATGATTAAACAGAAGAATAAAATAGAATTAAAAAGAAATATTCTTTATACAAATATATTTGTTTGCGTGTGCGTGTGCGTGTGCGTGTGCGTTTGCGAGTGCGTGTGCGTGTATGTGTACATGTGCGTGTGCGTGTGTGTGTGTGTGTGTGTGTGCGTGCGTTTGTGTGTGTGTGTGTGTGTGTGTGTGTGTGTGTGTGTGTGTGTAATTGACATAAGTATGTTTGATTACTATCTAATTCTTATAGGTGGGACAGTTGTTTCTAGTGCCAGCAATACTAGTTGCGTTAAATAAGTCAGAAAACAAATATGATGTTAGCTCCGTAGATACAATTATGTGTGGTGCGTCACCGTTGCCAAAAGATGTCGCTGAACTCACTCAAAAAAGGTATACTTATTTTTTTTATTTATTTTATTAGACACATAAAACAGATCTTAACCATAAAAAAACTTAAGTAGTAGTTACATTTGTGGTTCGGCTAGGTTCAATCCAATTTTTAATATTCAATACACTTCTAGTTTTTTTTTTTGGGTGAATATGGTATGCTAACCCCGCCTGCGCTAACGGGATACGCTGGCGGAGCACCAGTGAAGGGTGATAGATGAGAATGAAAACAGGTCAGTTGGCCCATCATGATGAATCCATCAAGAATTAACCATGATAGTTTCCAGGGAGAACCGCGAGGAGGTCGACCTGGTTGGATATATTGCTAGCAATGGGATTCTCAGTCTCTATTACTAACAATCCCTTTCCCCCTATAGACTTCTGGTTACGTACCGAATAAATGCAGTGGCGGTGCGGAGAAGCAATACGCGGAACTACCAATACAACTAACTTTACATCCATGCTGTATGCACACTCGTCTCTGTATATTTTTTTTATTACAATTTTTTATTTTAAGGGCTTTTACTTTCTTCACGTATCTCAGCCCCGTCGTACCCTGAAATGATTTCTCAAATAAAATTTTATCTACTTTCCCTAGACACAGAAGGAGAGGAATTAATGGGTATCAATAGTTTACAGAGATGTTAAAAAATTTCTGATTTGGGTTCAACTAATATAGATTGAACGAGAACAATAATTAATTAATTTAGGTTAAAGTGACACATGAATTCTTCTCCTTTCTTCGAGTTTATATGACATTCTAATGAAACAAAATTAATCTCCGAAGTATACCATCTTTCAATCGTACCAACTTCAACCCTGAACACTTAAAAGGTTATGTGAAAATGTATGAAAGAATTCAATTAATAAATACATTTTTTCTACTTCAATTATGATACGAATAATATTATGTGCGGTCCATTCTGATATGCATCCAACACGAACTTATGCTGAGTAGGTACCTACCCAATAATAAGAATATATCGAAAAACGTAAACTATTATTAAAACGCAAAAAAATAAATAAATAAAGAGTCATTTTTCCATAAAAAAATACACGATTGGAATAATAGATATCAGAAAAAAAAATTGTATGTTTGTTTGTCAATATAAACACACTGAAGAATCTAACTTCCCTATCCTTTTTTTTTCAATGCATGATAATGACATGATAACATCGCCTGGTGTTACCATGCCATTGTATTATATATTAAAAGGCAGGTCAAGTTAGCTCATCGTTATGAATCCACCTGGAATTCAGTACGATAGTTTCCAGGGGGGACCGCGTGGAAGTAGACCTGATAGGGTATATTGCTAGCAATGGGACTGGTAGTCCGCATTACTAACAATCCCTCCTCCCCTTCCCTATCCTTTATCGCTTCATCGAGCTACATATGTGACCAGTCCATTGCCACTTCAGCTTTCTTATCCTTCGATCTATGTCAGTCATTTCAATAGGCTAAATATTATTTTCTATAACTCTGTCTATCTCTATCTATCTATGTTTATGTCTATGTCTTCTGCAGCCGAACGGATTGCTAGTAGTTAATTTATTGTCCATTATGCACTTTTTCAGATTTCCCAATGTACCTGGCATACTGCAAGGCTACGGTATGACCGAATGTACGTTGGGCGTCTGCGTTAATGAATACAAGAATGGCGAAATCAAGAAACCTGACAGTAATGGAACAGTGGTGCCTTGTACCGTTGTGAAGGTTGATTTCGAAAAAACCTACCAATATTGTATTAAAGATTGTGTTTCACAAAAAAATCGATTTAATTTTTTTTATACAACTTAGAATGGCAAATAAGCTGACGCTCCACTTGATGGAAAGTGGTAACCGTCGCCTATAGACATAAACAGTACCATGGCCATAACAGAGTATACTGTTTCGCCCATGATAGCTCCCATGCGTTGCCATTTCTGAGGACTCAGATGTTATTCTTCTGTACCCTATAAATTCACTGGCATATCCCACCCTTTAAACCGAAACACACAGCCATGCAAGCACAACTGCTTCGCGGTTGAAACACGAATGGGACAGATGTGTCCAAGCATACGTCTTTTGTACAAAGTCTTCCTCTGGTAGCAAAATCAGTTATTTTGGTTTCAAAACTAAACTATTGAACTGATTTTAATAAAACTACTGAAATCGATTTTTGTTTAAATAAGAAGATTTCTTGTATACAAATGAAATATCTCGCTAATTATTTAACAGATAATCCGTTAAGAAGTACGGGATGTGACATACAGACAAACAACCTCACTTTCGACTTTATAAAAATTAAGAATTTATTTGTCTGTTTATTTTTACTTCAGATTGTAGATATAGAAACGAGAGATGCCCTGGGTGCACACCGTACCGGAGAAATATGTGTAAAAGGTTCCATGTTAATGAAGGGCTACCTGGGCGTCGACAGAAGGGAGACCTTCGACGAGGACAACTTCTTTAGGACTGGCGATATTGGGTATTATGATGAAGATGGATATTTGTATGTTGTGGACAGATTGAAGGAACTCATTAAATATAAATCATTCCAGGTTAGTAAAATACCAAGAGAATTCATTTGCACGCACACATTCGCACACACCACCACACTTATGCACACATATAATGTTGTTTTTTTTCAATTCACACTCTTGAATTGCGTCACTTGTCACTAGCGACATAACGGTTCCATAGTGTTCTGATAGGTGCACATTAGTGCAACTTGCCAATGCAAACTATTGTAAACCGATCCTAATTATAGCTAATTCCTAACTGTCGTTACACGAGTGCAGTATTAAATTGTCATTAGCAATAGATTTGTACTGAGATCGACGTTGGATTCAAGAGTTATCCTACTGTTTGTTTGTTTGTTCTATTTGTATACAATTATTATTTTCTTTTGTTTGTTTTGTTTTGGTTTCTTTTGTTCTTGTTTTGTGCGCTACTGTGTGGGTCGCATGCTTCTTCGATTAAATTATTTCTTTCGTTCTTTCTTTCAAAACTTATGATGATTTTTTACTATATCTTTAGATATTGTGTTCTAAGAATTATAGGAACTTATTATATCTACGGCCAGGAGCGGGTCTAGCTTTCGAAATAGCTTGTGGTTATAACCACCCGAAAATCGGTCAAGTGTGAATCGTCTGTCTGAAGACAGCCTATCTGATGGTATATAGTTACTGTAGGTTATGGTTTCAGCGTCACTAAGGGTTTTTTAATGGATGATAATGGAATGGTAAGCTCACCTGCGCTAACCAGGCTGCGCTGGCGGGGCACCATTGAAGGATGATAAGTGAGAATGAAAGGGAACCTTTCCATGGAATTTTTATACTGGAATCAGTTAACTTATGGGTGAATTTATTTTAATATGATGTCATTTATTTTAGCTTCAAGGCCTTTTATATCCAGATTAAGGGGATAATATAAAATTCATCATTCGCCATCTTGTGGCGGCGGCCATTTTGAATGTATTGAGTATTGAGCCTTGTATATTGTACTATCACTAAAAGTGTTTGCAAAATTTCTATTTAAACGAATATCAGAAATGGTTTAAATTTTGTTTGCATGTATTGACATAAATAAACTAAAATTGCAAGTTTGAAGCTTGTACAATTTAAAAGTGTATATACCTAATCTAGGTAGATTTCGATACATAAAATTTGCTAATAAATATTATAACACTGACTAAAAATAAAAATATTTAAAGAAAGTCCCCATCTATGGCTCTAGACAGGATCTTCTATAGTGTCGGAGAATATTGTCCTTGCTTCCCAAAAATAGTTGATACCCTTACTAATTTAACATTTTATAATATTCATTGTTATTTTAATTATTTAGTATTAGTAAGTATTACCAGCATTGTGTACCAAATGTCTTATCTAATCAATACATATAATAAAATCGTAACTGGTCGCTGTCTGTACGTGGAAGAAATATAAGAAAAATGATTATAGGGGGATTTTATGAACACAATAGAACCCAAAACAATGATTTTTAGAAATTTTGTCTGTTTGTCTGACCGTTTGTGCACGCTAATCTCAGAAATGGTTTAACCGGTTTGAATGCAGTTTTCACTAATTCATTGCGGTTTTTTCTGCTTAACATTTAGTGTTTGTTTTATTTCAATCGGTTCATAAGTAATAAAGTTTTGTCAATCTAAATATTCATATAAAAAATGCTATAAAATAACCGATCACTTGAATTGCCTAAAATTTTATTAAAGGTACTTAATTATCATTTAAGTATATAATCTATACTATATCTATATTTATACTATACTATATCTATAGTATAAATCTGTAGAGAGGTCCATTCTGTACAAGAAATATATTTCCAAAATAACAATATCAGGGGGTGATTAGTGATCGATACTGATGCCAGAAATGCAATCAGTAAAATTTTTGTTTGTCTGTTCGTATGTTCGTTATAGAAACAAAAACTACTCGACGGATTTTAATGAAACTTGGCACTATTATTCTTCATACTCCTGGGCAGGTTATAGTATACTTTTCATCACGCTACGATCAATAGGAGCAGAGCAGTGAAGGGAAATGTACATATACCTATTGAAATTAATTGGTTTAATTTAATTGTATTTTTTTCTCTGACCTTAATTTTGTATTATCGTAATAATCACCAACATTAATGCTATATCTTTGTTTAATTAATATAATGACATTCAATTTGCGTGCCTACAATTTTAAAGCAATGTCTACAATTTTAAAACAGATGCTTGTTTAAAGCAAATAAATATTTCATTTCAATCAATAAAATTTCATTTCATCTAATTAAATTTCATTTAATGTAATTTCATCACAAATAATTTCACTTCATCACATATAATTTCAGTTCATCACATATAATTTTATTTCATTTAATATAATTTCATATATTTTAATTTTATTAAACAATGTGTACTCGAACACGGTTTAGACGGACAGTTATAAATTATTTTCGCATAGTAACACCGGATATCTTATAATTGGGAAGGAAGTGATTCACATACTCATATTTAACCCTATTTCAGATGTCAAACTGCCATAGATAACACTAGTATAGATAAAGTACGAATATTAAATATTATAATTTATTTCTAACGAAACTGTTAAGGAATGGAATACCCTTCCAGTCTCTGTGTTTCCAGAGAATAGCAAACTGAAATTCTTCAAGTCAATGGTTAACAAGTATCTTCTGGATAAGCATGCTTCATCCTAGAACTTATCGTCACTTACCATCAGGTGAGGGAAAATCAAGCGCGACTCCATTTTTTTTATACCACTTAGGATGGCAAACAAGCTGACGGCCCGCGTTGAATGGCAACGCATGGGGGGTATCATGGGCGAAACAGTATACTCTGTTATGTCCACGGTACTGCTCATGTCTATAGGCGACGGTTACCACTTTCCATCAGGTAAGCCGTCAGCTTGTTTGCCATTCTAAGTTGTGTATAAAAAAATAAAAAAAAAAAAAACATAGACTGCTATTACTGATAATGACCTACAAGTGACAAGTATCAATTAAGATAACCTCTTCAATCGCCTAGTGATATAAAATTATTCCGAATTAATGCGTGTTTTATTTTTATCTTCAGATATCACATACACGTGTAGACGATAAGTTTTTCGGTTATATATATACAATATTTTCTAAATCAATACATGTAATAAAATCGTAACTGATCGCTGTCTGTAGATGTATGAAAAATTATTAATAGAAGTGCTTTGTGAAGACACAATAGAACCCAAAGCAATGATTTTTGAATTTGTCTCTTTTTTTTGTGAATGATATTGGAATGGTAACCCCGCCTGCGCTGGCAGAGCACCAGTTATGGGTGATAGGTGAGAATGAGAAGGCAGGTCAGTTAGCCCATCGTGATGAATACACCTAGCATTCAGCATGATGGTTTCCACGGGGAACCACGGGGAAATCGACCTAACGGGGTGTATTGTTAGTAATGGGACTGGTAGTCCCCATTACTAACAATCCCTTTCCCCTAAATTTTGTCTGTTTGTCTGTACGTTTCTGCGTGCTAATCTCAATAACTAGTTTTCACTAATACATTGCGGTTTGCTCCACTTAACATTTAGTGTTTGTTTTATTTCAATCGATTCGTAAATAAAAATAAGTTATATCAATCTAAAGAATCACATATAAAATGCTATAAAATAATCGATCAGTTGAATTGGAATTGGATAAAAAAAAATATAATCTATATATATAATCTATAAAATATAACCTACCTTCGTAAAGTTTTACTTTACGAAGGTAGGTTATATTTTTTTATACCACTGAGGTGGCAAACAAGCATACGCCTCACCTGATGGTAAGCGGTTACCGTACCCTATGAACGCCTGCAATACCAGAGATATTACGCGCGCGTTGCCGACCCTGAAGAAACCTCTTTACCTCCCTTTTGAAAAACCCCATGCTGTAGTCTCTTGGGAAAACCTCGGCAGGGAGCTCATTATATGTCATATATCATATTTTAACTCATACCGATTCATGCGGGTAGTGCCGCGGTAAATAGCTAGTAAATAAATAAATTAATATCATTATCCGAAAATCGTGGTGGGTACTGTATCGTAATTATGTTGATGCGTTTTAAAACATGATGCAATATTATTTAACTCAGTATTTAATTTTGGTAAAATTTCTATGGGAACAAATTATAAGTACCTGTAGCCTCACTTACTGTCAGGTGAGGGAAAATCAAGCGCTACCCCATTTATAATATAAAAAATGAATCGCTGAATGTGTTGCTAAGCGCAAATCTCGAGAACAGCTGAACCGATTCCGCTAATTCTCTTTTTAGAATATTCCTTAAAGTATGAGGATGGTTCATACGCAGAGAAAAAATTAAAAAATTGCCCGAAAAAGTCTAAAAACGACACTCTTCTATACTCCCATACAAACGATTCGTAATAATACTTAAAAGTCAATTTGAACTTTAATACCATACTATAAAGTTCAAGTCTTAGTTGAGAGGTTCCGGGAGGGCAAAACAATTGAGTGACGTTACTTTCGTATAAATCTAGCCGAGCCGGCGTCGCGAATAGCAGAATAAGTATTAAAACAACAAAAAAAATAAAGAATCGACTGTTAGGCGGTACGAAGTTCGTGGGGTTAGCTAGTACTAAAATAGCATATTTTCGTATATTGTGATTTTTCATCATTACATGATGTTTTTACAAGTTTTTATTTATACTTGCAATGTTTTTTAGTTATTCTGTATAGGTAAATTCTTGTAAGTTAAATTTTAACCAATTTTTCCTTTCTCGATTTTGCAAAACTTTCTTATAAACCTTCAGTTCTATACAATATGTAATACTAAATATTTTAATATCTATAAAATGGCCGCCGCCACAAAATGGCGGATTGTGTATATTTTTTCAACACTTAATGTGGATATCAAATGAAAAAGTAAAAAAAAAATATATATTTATTTACAACAATACAAGTAAGAAAGAGTACAATTTTTATATTTAAACATAACTTTTATGTTATAAAAATGAAGGTATACAAAATAAAAATATACCGAAAAAGAGAACTTTACTTTTTACTTTGCTAGTCGTTACTGTGTTACGGCAACTCTCGCTCAAACAATATAATCTAATATGAACTGTAACTACCTAACATAGAAACACTTTTACTAATGACAGTTTTTTGTTTTCTAAAACGAACAATGATTAATATTTGACAGATGTAAACAACATGCAGTATACGTAAAAGTTACAGATATTTCTTACATTATAATATGAATATTATTAAAACAATATATGAGAATAGGTAACGATAAAACAAACATTAAAAAACAGTTTATTTAGCTTTAAAATTTATTATAGGAAGTTCTATTTATAGCATACTACTATCTTCCGAGGTTACTTTCAGATCAGCTCGATGATACCATAATATACAAACATTGAACTTACATAAATATGCGAAATTTCAGCTCAATCTGAATTTAGAATGTCGTTAAATATATATTGCAATTTTTTTATAGGAAAACACAGGTATTACAAGTATAAGCGTCTATGACATCTTTCTCGCCGTGTGTGCCCCAGCATAGAATGGGCCACCCCTTCGTAGGTGTCGTAAGAGACGACTAAGGAAGGGCGAGTGATGGGCAGCAGCCTCCCTCTTAAAAGATCTCCAAATCGTAACTGCGGTTGCCAATCCGCCTGCCAAGCGTAGCAACTACTGGCAAAACCCTTCATGGGGAGGCTTATGTTCAGCAGTGGATAGTTAAAGGCTGATATGATGATGACATCTTTTGAAATGGGAGCAGCCAGATGATGGTAGATTATATTGGGGACGAGCCTGGGGTTACACTTCTATGTCTTAACCTATGTCTTATGTTAAGTTAATATTTCAGTTTGATATCACAGCAAAAACTTTATTGTAAAATGAATATAAACTAAGTTTCTAATAGATTTAAGTAAAAATTATTACATTATAATGGTTTATAAAACAGTAATTTTTCGAAATTGGTGTTTATATAAATATAAGTAAACTAGCCAAGCCAAATCTTGAGCTTGAATTACATCCTAAGTGAAATAAATGCATTGTGTTAATAATTATCTGTTAAAATTTAACAATTCATAATACTCGTAAATTTTAAGGTTTTCTACACAGAACTTGACAGATGGCGGATTATTTTTTCGTTGGAGTCGAAACGACACATATTCGTAATTTTAAACTTGACTCTCCTTTCACATTTATGTTTTGATGGAATTTGCTTTACAGGTAGCACCAGCGGAAATAGAAGCGTTGCTGTTACAACACGAGGCGGTAAGAGATGCAGGGGTAGTCGGTATACCAGATAGAGAAGCAGGAGAAGTGCCGATAGCATTCGTGGCACTGCAACCAGGCAGGACCGTCACTGAGAAGGAACTACAGGACTTTGTGGCAGAGAGGGTATTGCATTTTATACCTACATTTTTTATAAACCACGTGGAGTCAAAAGTGTTGTAGGCGTTCATAGGCTACAGTAAACGTGTACCATCAGACGGTCTGTATCAAGCATACAGTCCGTCTGATGGTAAACGGATTTCGGGATCTTTAATCACAAGTGGCTGTGATGCGAGCGAGTTTTAATAAGACTAATAGATACCAAAATATTATTTTTTAGAAATTTTGTCTGTATGTCTGTCTGTCATGAAGGTCTATCTTAAAATCTGGTATGTGTTTCATCTTGATATGCCAACTTGAAAAGTAGTATTTAATTCCTTTTGCTACTTTTAAAATCCACGCGCACTAAGTGGCGGACAAAAGCTATTTTTTATAATATATTTTAAAGGCACAATCGGGACTTGATACGATGTAAAAGCCTCTATAGCCAACGTCGGTAATAAAGAAGCAGGTTTGTATATACATATATATTATTGCATAATAATATATTTCATCTCTATATGTATTTAAAATAACAAAATTTTCATCGTGCCTCCGATCAAACTGTTTATAACTACTCCTCTCCATCCAAAGGTTGCCTGGAAGAGATCGAAAAGGCTGCCTTTTGTATTCTCAGTGTGAAGATTTATTGTAATTGTTTGTATCTATTTATAATAAGTTTACTATTATAATCTTTTGGAGGAAACAATAAAGAGTATCTATCTATCTACGTAGGCACTATTTACCAGTAAAGGCTATTACGTCACGTTAATTCCCCATTGTTTATTTAAAATATGTTTAAACAACGCGAAAGTTTAAAATTAACTGTTTTTTATAATATTAGTAGGTGCTTGCGACGACAAATGTAACAGTTTGTTTCTTTTTTTATTTCATTTATTTATTAAGTTGATGGAAGTTTGTAGGAAGTTGTAGTTTGTAGGAAGTCTTTGCCAAACAATGGGATAGGCTACGAAAGGTTATAATGATCATGATATAATAATATATTTAATTACTATTGTACTTTCCAGCTATCGAATCCGAAACGTCTCAGAGGCGGTGTACGATTCTTGTCTGAAATACCAAAGAATGCAAGCGGCAAGATACTGAGGAAGGAGCTTCGCAATTTGACCAAAAATAATATAAGCAAACTATAATTTTATTATTGTTTCATGACAATTTTAGGAAGTAAAATTAAATATATGTACCACATTATTAATGGACATTATTATTTTTACCTCCTGTTTGTTATTCTTGTGATAAAATTAAATAAAATGTAAACAAACAATAAAACACCAGAGGGAGATTTTGTACAAAATTCGTTTGCTTGAGCAACTCTGTTCCATTCGTGTTTCTACGGTGAAGCAGTTGTGTTTGCATGGCTGTGTTTCTGTTTGAAGGGTGGGATGTGGCTGTGAATTTACAGGGTGCAGAAAAATAACACCTGAGTCCTCAAGAATGGCAACGCATAGGGAGTATCATGGGTGAAAGAGTATACTTTGTTAGGTCTATGGTACTGCTCCGCCGTCAGATTGTTTGCCATTCTAAATTGCATAAAAAATTCTTGATTTGAAAAAAAAAACTGTCGTTTAAACTCTCACTAGCTTCAAAACCTCTGTGAAGTCCTACCATATTTACCTTCAGCACTATTTTCCTGTATTATTACTTATCTTTCCTCTTTATTCTCTCCTGTTATATATGTGCTATTGAGTATGGATAAGTTTGTATATATGTATCTATGTAGTCCACTAACCCTTTGTCTATTTTCTCTTATCCTCTACCCAAAAGTTGTCTGGAAGAGATTGCTTAGCGATTAGGCCGCCTTTTGTATCACTTCTCATTAAAATTTACTATATTTATTATTTTTAATCGGTCCAATGAAGACTGAATAAAACTTCCTAAACTTACAACTACATATCGTCATAGTCGTAGAATACTGACGGATCTGACAAATATTACATATAAAGATCCGTCAGTATTCTACGACCATGACGATATATCGGAACTACATTCATTCTTAGATATGACTAATTTTTACTCTTAATTTATAAAGAATATGAATTTTCATTTAGTGCCATTATATAAATGATTGAAGAAATCATCGCACTGGCAATGGAATAAAAAGTGTCAGTATGCGTTCAATTTATAAAATATCATCATCATATCGTCATAGTCGTAGAATACTGACAGATCTGACAAAGATTACATATAAAGATCCGTCAGTATTCTACGACTATGACGATATCAGCGGTCTACTGTCCATTGTTGAACATAGCCAGTAGTTGTCACGCTTGGAAGCCGGAGAGGCAACCAGAGTTAGCTTTTGATAATGTTTTAAGAGGGACGCTGCTGTCCATCCCTAGACCATTATGTTCCCTTAGTCGGCTCTTACGACATCCACGGAAAAGGAAGAGGTGGCCTATTCTATGCCGGGACCACACGGCAGATAATATGTATTAATATATTTATTAATAGTACATACTAGTAATAATTAAAATCTTTTCTCCTATATTCTTCACGACTCTGGAACGCGCTTCCTGATGCCATTAAGAGACTACCGACTAAACGGTCTTTCAAAAAAAGCGTTCATGCTCATTTTTTTACTTTATCCGAACAGTAACTGCTTTATATTATTCTTAATTTCGTGTATCATATATTATAGTATATGTCATATATGTGTAAGTATATTTGTTATTCATATATATGGTATTTATTTGTTTATATATGTAATTTTAGTATGTATGTATATCAATAATTAGTAGTACCGCATCCGAGTATTCTGACACTTCCCTATGGTTGACAGGGAGAAAATGCTTTAAGCATTAAGTTCACCATGTACACATATTTGTACTAATGACTAATTATAAATAAATAAATAAAAAAAAAATATTAAAAATTTAAAAAAGCCTTGACATAATCGTGGCTATAAAAAGAGCTAATAACCTTAAAACGCTTGAACAGATCTTTATAAATCGTAGCTAGTTCTAAGCTTCATCTCGATAACGTTAGCTTTCAAGAAAAAAAGGCTGTATCATAATCGGTCCTTTCGTTTAAGAGCTACGATGCCACAGGCAGATACACAGACTCGTCAAACTTATCACACACTTTTTTATGGGGGGGGGGGGGTTAAAATAAGTAATCTTTGGATATAAGAATAATCACTCAGTGTAATAAATTGCTCCAACCTTCTCACTCGACACCTTTAAACAGTAATCACAGTTACAATTTTGCTATTTTGAAATAATAGGCGTTATTTTATTACTTATAGTAAAAAGGCTAAGCATGTGTTAATATTGGTGTCGCTCTAATATCTATATATTGGATTATTTTGGATATTATTATATTTATTTTTGATTTTCCGATATCGCGCGTGCCGGTTTTTTTAGTGTTATTATAGTGTTAGTTATTATCTATATAATGGAATGGTAACCCCACCTAAGTTAACGGTATACGCTGGCAGAGCACCAATGATGGATGATAGGTGAGAATGATAAGGCAGGTCAGTTATATTGGTTATTGCTAGCAATAACCAATATAACTGACCTGCCAAGCCAGGGTATATTGCTAGCAATGGGACTGGTAGTACTCACTACCACATATACCACTACTAACAATCCCCCCCCCCCGCGTATGGCGGTTAGAAATCTATATTAATTTCGAACGGATTCTTTCGCCGGAAACCGCATCGTATTTTGCGTGATACCATAACATACAGATGGACGGACAGACAGACAAAATTACTAAAAAAATTTTTTTTTTGTATTCATTAGTCTTATTAAGACCGCTAATGCAATTTTTTATGAAATATCTTCCATGTACTAGTTACAATTTTTTAAGGTTCTATACCAAAAAGGTGCAAAGAATACTTTTCGATGCCACTTTGTGCATCCGCTCATCCGTTCGTCTGTCACAGCGCTATATCTCAACAACTAGTAATGCTATTGATTTGAAATTTGGATAGTTTCACATATTGTTGATCCTCAAATATTGCAGTGAGAATATCACCGTCTTCATTCCCTTATCCCAATTATTATTTATTTAAAACAACTGCACCAAATTGAATGTAGTTTACACAAGAATGTTCCTAAGAGCCTAACTTAAAATATGGTGTATGTCTTTTCTTGATACGCTATTTAAAAGTGTTCTATGTTATTGCTTTCCCTACTTCTGAATCGACGCGTACGAAGTAGTAGAAAAAAATAATATAAAAATAAAAAAAATGCACTAGATACAAAATAATTATGAACCGAACCGGACGTGTAATGTTATGTAAACCCATTTCTCCGAACAAGCCGTTTAAGAGATCGATTTTCGTCACTCGAGTGGACGTCTTGCGTCGTCGCGGGCGCAGACTTAATCACTTTCGCTTTTTTACCAAAATCTACTTAAAAACTATACGAATTTCGATAAAACCTCATAAATTACTTCCTTTGTTTCAACGCAAAAAATCGAATTTAAAAAATAAAGAACGTCGCTTTTTTTAAATCGAAAGCGACAAACGCGAGTTGTTGTTAAGTGGTACTATTATTTTTGAAATAACATCGATAAGAATTGGTGATTTTAAACTAAATATAATTATGATAAATATAATTATATTCGTTGAAGTGATTTCATTGTTATTAATAATTAACGTTATAACATGTGATTATTTGGACTCGGATAATGATGTTGTGAATAATGATTTACATCAAACCAAAAATCTAATACTCGATAAGGGTGCTGTTTTGACCAAACTGTTAAGTGAAAGTAAATATAATTCGGACATTGTAAACAGTATAGGAAAAGAAACAGATGTAGTGAATCATTATGAGGATATAACAGTATTAGATAATGATGGACAGTTGAAGAATTTAAAATATAAATCGGCTAATAAGCCACAGACACCTGTTAAATTGCAAAATTTGATCGGTGATGTGCATGTGACGAAATTAAGTGACAAAGTGACGGACAATAAAGTGATTAACAATGATAGACACGAGTTAAAAGATTTGAGCGGTCACAAGTCGAAGTTTTTTGATCAATTGGGATGTAAGTATTTTTGTATATGAAACAAAAACCTTGTAAACAAGCGATTCTGTGTTCTAAATTACATTTTAATTAAGAAACTTATATTATAATTAGGTTTGATTATAATGGAATAAAATTTGAATAGTTAAAGATAAAAAATTTCCTTAAGATCACTGCCAGCTGGTAAGGTACCTAGGAGACTTGCTGCATTTCCACGCTGAATAGCTATGGAAATGCGTTGCGTTTTTGTATATTGTGTTTTTTTTTTATTATTAAATTCCAATCATCTTTATTCGAATAGACTTATTTACAAATACTTTAAATCATTTTTTTTTTTAATTTACTGCAGGGTTCGGAAACTTGTTGTGTGTTGAGAGAGCCCTCAAGAAACTCAACAGTTACTCTATATATATGTACATATATATATATATATATATATATATATATATATATATATATATATATATATATATATATATATATAGAAGTATACATATATTTATTTAAATATACTATGTGTTATTAAAAAGACCATGCATGATCGACTAACGCCAGACTTTTGTCATTCAAGTAATCGTTTAGTGTGTAATAGGCTTTGTTCAATAAATGTTTTTTAATAACAGTTTTGAACACAAGCTGACGGCCCACCTGATGGAAAGTGGCAACCGTTGCCTATAGACATGAGCAGTACCTTGGACATAACGGAGTATACTGTTTCGCCCATAATATCCCCCCGTGCGTTGCCATTTCTGAGGACTCAGGTGTTCCTCTGTACCGTGTAAATTCACGTCATATCCCACCCTTCAAACCGTTTCATCCTCATCAGTCATCTATCACTGGTGTCCCAGTGTATACCGATAGCGCGAGTGGGGTTGCCATTCCATTATCACCCATTAAAAAAAACCCTTCAAACCGAAACACAGCCATGCAAATACAACAGATTTACGGTTGAAACACGAATGGGACAGAGGTATCCAAGCAAACGACTTTCGTACAAAATCTCCCTCTAATACATAAAAATATACAATAACATTTTGAAAATTCATTTGAAATGGGGTTAAACAGAGACGAATTGAATTATAGACATAGAAATGTAGGCATAAAAGGCGGTTTCACGGATTAACGGTAAGATAGGACAGGATGTTTTACAGACTTATTCGTCGTTTGTTCTTTTATTTTATCTCCATATTTATGGTAAGCAAGTATTCTAAC